AACTGCCTACGGAAGATCTTTAGTATATCAAGCAACTCCAATGATCGATCTCGTCTCCCCTCGAGAAGAAACCGATCACTATATTTATTGTACCGCCAGTTAAAGCTCTCACAGAAGACCAAGCTCACTAACTTAATGTACTTGGGCCAAGAGAATTGTCTGCCTTCAACTTTTGGTCTCTTTACGGGTGATGCTGCGAAGCTATTAAATTTGCTAGTTGTTTCTTGCAGCGATTCTTTCGACTGAGAAAAGAGTCACTCTTTTTTTCACGCTTGCAGCGTAACTATCTCTTAAAGAAATATGTATAGACCTTGAGACTCTGCGGCAAATGATCCAACTTTTTGCGACGACCGTGGCACTGTTCACAAATGCAAGTAGAAACCTCGTGAACGTTGAAATCTAGTTTCGTAAGCGCGATGCTAATCGAACATCAGGAATTACTAAGGAATATAAAATATCATCAGTTTGGCGGATGGTGCTTATTTACCCTGATGATAACCTAGTGTCGAAAACGTTTGGTTTTTACTTTTTGATTTATTATTTCCTGATAAATGGCTCATATTCACCTATATTTTTATCATTCTCTGTTGTAATTAAGCACACTGCACGAGACCGGCTAAGGGAAAGCAACACTCAAACACTTTAAAAAGCCTCAGGGATATTTTTGGAACACAAGAAGCGATGACAGAGTACTTATTGGCTGTAATTATAAAATCAATGGAATAATTTACCTTTTAGGCTTTAGACTTCGGTCAAACTTCGGCTTTGGCATTTTGTTGTTCATTATTTTTACTGTCGTGAAGCGTTTCTGTGCTCAAAATTGAAATATTTTTTGTATTATGTATTTCATTATTTATCAAGCGAGTGGATATCTCGCTATTACTAAACTAGATGCAAAGATCGAATGCAGCAGGAAGCCTTCCAGCCAGAAATAATCAAATCATCAGGTATTTTCAGGAAGATAAGTACGCAGACTGTCAAATAAACCCATGTTTGGTAGGAAATTTGCGCCCACGGATCGCTGTAAAACGTAAGCAAGCCTTGATGCCCACACGTAATTTCGTATTGTATCGTATTATGTAGCAATTTTTGTAACCTTAAGTAACGCATGTGGGAGATTCTGTGAAACCTTTAAGAACAGTACTAGCTCAGAATGGCAGAACACAAAGTTAGAACTGATTTCAACGCTATGAATGAGGCAGAACTTTAAAAAATACCCGCTGATATTTAAAGACTTTGTTTGTGGAAATCGCCTCCGCAGTCGACAGTTGGTTCTGCGAGTGGGTCTATATTTCGCTAAAGAAGACGCCACAAATCAATATTTCATGACGTAAAAATTCCCAAACATATTTCCTGAAGTCTGTGAACTAGCCGTTTGGACTGTAGGACATTTTAAATCATTTGATTTACAACTTCACCGGTTCAGGCAGGGACTCCACGACGGAGGTTGAATAAGCCCTTCGTCAGAGCTCTTTCGAAGGGTTAACGCTCGAAACGTCAGCGTTTTAACTCTTTACGGTGGAAAATTTACGTTTTCAACGCAGCTGTTAGTACTAATTTACCGGAAATTAAAACCAGCTTAGGAGTAGGCTAACAAAACATATTGCTCGTACTGTTTTCATTCTCGCAATTTATTTGCACCTGCTTATCCAGTAAGGCTATAGATATCCAATAACTCATTCTTTTTCATCATATTCTTTCTGACAGTGAAGACTAAATATGCATCTTAGCATAATATCTCTTCTTTGCAACGTTGCCTACGGCATAAGCCGTATTTCAGGGCCAAATTTTAAGGCTGTTAACTTTGCGGAAAAGATAAACGGACAAAAGCTGAACGGAAGCCTGATAAGAGATGTAAAAGTGGATTCAGAAAGTTCCTGTCGGCTTGAGTGTGTAAATGAAGAGCGATGTCAGTCTTACAACTTTGGAACCATAGAGGGAGACCCAAACAAATTCAAGTGTCAACTAAGCGACTCTGATCGATTTGCTGGATTTGCTAACTTTCTTGAGGATAAAGGTTTTATTTACAGGGGAATAAAGGTATGCAAAATCTGTGATTTTATGTTTAATCGAGGCGGAGTTCACTAAAAATCTTGATTAACTTTAAAATATTTAAGTTTTCATCTCTCATTTTTTTCCCCTTGACGAAAGTTACTTTGTCCCACGCTTTAACTTATCGGCATAAGAAGAACCGACAATAACCGTGATAGAAATTTGCCCGCTGTTGGCGTTAGGGGAAAGAGACTCCTCTGACAAAAACAGCTAGGTTTTCATGAAAAATAATTCAAATGACTTTGAATTCACTTTAGCGATGAATACCTGCTGGGAGGCTATTAAAGACAGTATAAATCAGTCTGATATAGAGTGGCATATGTAGAGCCTCCATTCTTGATTTTCTTTTGAAGTATATCTTGCACGTGAACTAGTCGCGTTTTGCTATCCAAAAGGAAAGGATGTGTATTCTGTTGCGCTTCGTAATAAAATTGTCACATATTGTAGCAAGATATGGTTTTCTTGGACAGAACATAAGGAGACCCACTCATAGCTATAACCATCGTCAATGATGATGAAAAGATACTGATAAAAGTAATGATTGTGACAGTGATGATAATAATAACTGCTATTCATCATGATATCATCATCGCCATCGTCATCATCATACATACATACATATACATACACATACTTTATTTAAGCTCGAAATTGAGTGTAGCTGTAGAGCTAATATCTTCGAGAAAAAAGCTTAAATGAAATAAAAATATGCTATCTTACAATTTCAATATTGTTTATAAACTATATACAACTAAAAGCTAAGAGGGAAAACTAAGAGGGAAACATAACTTGTAGATCTACTGTGAAAAGCTTCATATCTGAGGATCTCTTGCTTGAATTCTAGAAAATTTAATGTTCTGTAGGTGTCTGGGAGAGAGTTCCATATTTTGCTAGCTAAGTATGAAAAGGAGTGCAGACCGTATGTCGTTTTTGAAGACCGGAGGGTGAACATATCTTTTAAATAACATGGATAATTCGTAACGAACAGACTCTTATATAACGTGATCATGAAGTTCTGTAGACGTCTAATGAAAAGATATTTTAAGTTAACTTTGCTTAGTAAAATGTCATATGGAGAGCTGTAGTACTGTAGTATCAACCTAAGAATGCGCTTATTTAGATTATCTACTTTGCCGGCGTTGCGCGCACCACAGAAATGCCAAACAGAAGAACAGTAGTAAAAATGCGGCAAAATAAAGGCTTTATAAAGCTTCAATAGCGTCTCCTTATTAATAAGTTTCCGAAATCTAAGCATTACGTTTAATTGATTATTTATTTTCTTACAGATAACTGATACGTGATTATCAAAAGAAAGCCTAATAGCTGTTGTTATTCCAAATATATCTATCGAATTATTTACTGGGAAACAAAAATTGTGCTCAGTTTTTCCTAGGATTAGAGCTTGGTGCTTTTTCTCGTTAACAGTCATGCCATTGTTTTTATACCACTGATTTTCGACATTAACTTCTCGACAAAGGCACTTTAATTTCCAGTGTAAGTGGGTCTAGGTTAGATGAATAAATCTGATGGTCGTCTGCGTATGCGTTTAGATTTGCATATTTCACATGCTGAAACAAGTAATTAATAAATAAATTAAAAAACATTGGTCCTAAAACGCTCCCTTGTGGAACGCCTCTTCTGGTGCCCGCCCAGTTGGAGAAGGTATCTCTAATCTTTACTCGCTGCTGTCTTCCTGACAAGTAGTCCTTACGTAGGGCGCAACTTCCTTTGCAAACTCCAAATGCTTTGAGTTTTACTAAGAGTAAGTCATGCTGAATGACATCAAAAGCTTTAGAAAGGTTAATAGCGACAATCGCAACTAGTTCCCCTTTATCACGCATGCGCCTCCAGTCCTCTGTCCGCCGCAACAATGCAGTTTCACAATTGTATAACTTCCTATATGAACTAATAAAGTCCGACAGAATAGCGCTATATCCCCATCATCATCATTATTATACTGTTAACCTCATATCCGAGGTCTCTCTTTCCCTAAGAACAAGGTTTGCGTACGGTCTCATAGATTCTGTTTACCTCCCAACCTATCACAAGTTTCCTATTGTAAGTAACAACGTGCATAACCCGAAGACCATATCGTAAAATAATTTGTGCAAATGCTGTCCGCAACAAAATGAGTTCCATTCTTAGAATATCCTTGCGCTATTGAAAGAAAGAAACTCCTTCGACTTACGGATGTTTAGGAGGTTACTTGGAACAATTTTTCTCTCTAGAGTGCATGTGAAGAGGACCGTTTCCAATGTGGTCATCAGAGTATATGCGTTCCCAACTATCAAGATGGCAGCGTTCGATGCCAGTGTAAGCGCGGCTTCACAGGAAAACCTTGCGGTAGGTATATATCACTTTGCCTAGGCATGGAAAAAGCCTCGATTATCATATGAAAAAGACAGCTTGAATAGGTTCTTTTTTTCCTCAAAATAGAACCAAAAAGCTGCTCCCAATTGTTTCAAGATGGATTTAATTCTAGTGGCATGTACACCATCAATCCAGATGGCGGCAAACCAATCCAAGTGTTTTGTGACATGACCACAGACGGTGGAGGCTGGACCGTTTTTCAGAAACGCTTGGACGGCTCTGTTGACTTCTATCTTAAATGGGAATCCTACAAAAACGGCTTCGGAAATCTGAGCGGAGAGTTCTGGCTTGGAAACGACAATCTTCACCGTTTAACAGCCGCTGATGACGTTATGTTGAGAGTTGATCTGGAAGACTTTGAAGGGAGCATCACGTACGCTGAGTACACGAATTTCAATGTGGCAGACGAAGCTGACAAGTACCGGCTTTTGATTGGGGGATACAAGGGCACCGCTGGTGACTCTATGACGGCACATAGGTAAGAAAGGAATTCAGTGAATTTACAGATGACTTACATGTTTTTTTGGATTATGTTTAATGTTATCTGGTTTAGGGAATTTGTGGTCGATTTTCATATTTAGAGTACGAGCAGTGGTTCAGTGTACGCTGATGTAGCAAAGAAACAAAGTAACGTTGGGATAAGAAGGCATTACAATTGAAATGATCATGCTATTACATTTGACAAGGTTGGATGATGTCATGTGTTCTAAAAATATATATGTAGGTGAAAAGTGAAATTTGCTGTCTATCATTGTAAATATTGGAAAATCAAGGCAATATTGTCGTAATGAAAACATTAATGATTCCCTCTTTATCAAATGAGACAAACGGGAACGAGTTTTGAGTGATATGACTAAGCCCAGACTGCCACTGTCATTTTGGATAGATTTTGGTCACGTGCTAGGTAACGTATAATCGAGAACAAGGTAGAATTTCGTTTCAGGCCTATTTATCAATTTTGTGGTGTATAACGTTCGCATTTTAGTACGTAATATTTATTTTGAATTTTCAAATATTCTTGAAACTTAAGAGAGTGTCTCTGTAAGAGCGGTCTGGTCGATATTACACGCTGGTCGTAGCTTTTACGACAAATGATCGACAAGTTTATCACGGTTTTTATGGATAAACGTTCAAAGCTTCTTGAAAAAGGACGATAAACCGTAGGCCCCATCTCCTGCGTCTTCTTTTTACTGGTTAGCACGGAATGTTAAAGAACCCACGCACTTTTCGCAAAGAGAAGGGAAAGAAACTCCCGGTGTTCTGGTCTGGCCTAGTTGTTATTAGTTTGTACAGGCTACCATCCAAACCAGCTTTAAAGCTGAACTTGGTCAGCCTGTATAAATATCGATAATAACTATTGCTTTCTATGTGTCTAAACATGGTGAATACAAGCTTACATGAAATTTTATTTCATTTCAGCAATATGGAATTTTCTACTAATGATCAAGACAATGATCTACATAACAGCCTTCACTGCTCCCAAAGGTACGAGGGAGCCTGGTGGTACGGAAGCTGCCATCACTCCAATCTAAACGGATTGTACCTCAATGGCTCCCAAGTGTCTTATGCTAATGGTGTCAACTGGCTTTCTTTCAGGGGCCATCATTACTCACTAAAACGCACCGAGATGAAAGTGAGAACCAAAGTATAAGACAATGTCTATCCCAGATAACGCGCCAATCAAACCGAGGCTTCAACAACAACCCCCCCCCCCACGTCAACACTCGGGCATTTGACTGTCGTTCTTTCCAAAAGGTGGGGAACTTGAACCTTGTCTGGGTGAGGTGGGCAATTTATCCGGACCTGTCAAGTCCCTCCAGCGCAATACACGTGTTTTATCTTTTAACATGGAGCTGTTTAAAGGTAAAGAGTTTGCTTTCGCAAGCAGATGGCTCAGAAGAAAAAGGTCTACAAGAAAGTCGTGGTCGCTGATCCTGCCTTTTACAGAAAAACTGGCTATCAAATCAGGCACTTAAGTAGGGTGTTTGAACACAATTTTGGCCCCGGGAGACGGGAATTTGAATGAGCCAGTCTTTAAAAGTTCAAATGCCCAGGGGGTTTTCGGGGGGGAGGGGGGGATGAAGCTTTTTTAATTGATCGACGCTTGGCCGACAAGAAAACGATTTGAACTGAAACCCGCGCTAAACCTAAGTCAGTAAGTTGATACGTATATATGATGACACCATGCACTAAATTTCATTTTGTGAATAACTTCAATTCAATTTCTACGATTGGATTAGTATTTAGGTGTAACTTATAGCAAACCATGCCATATTTTTTTTTTTAAATAAAAACCGTGTGTTGCATCCGTGTTTGCTATTCACCAAAGGTTAATAAGCCCTGGACCTACTTAAAATTTAATAGAAAGTATCTATTTCACTTGTATAGTCCTCACAGTTACTTACTGCAATTTACTATGGGGCACATGCTCCCAATCATTAACGCTAAAGCTTGAGTATATGCATGCACGTACTGCTAAAACCATATATAGACTGCCTTGGGACACTCAGGACGTTTTAGCTTTGACTATAAGGCATTCATATAAAAATATGTGTGAAACTGGAAAATTGCTTTTACTTATGTACAAGATACATAATGATATGGAGGCAGATGCTATTCTCTCTTTTTGATAAGTTTTAGAGTAGAAGTTCGAATTATAATTTATGCAACTACCCAAGTTTTTAATTACCGCATCTTAACGAAGATTTAGAGAGAACCTCTCTAAGATGAAGTGGGCTTTTATCCTAGAATATACCGTCAACATGTTATTTCAGAGGGATATCTATACAATCTCGAATAAATACCAAAACTGCATTTATTATTGACTACTATTTAAAAACATTTTGATTTACACTTGAAACTTTTGATTAGTAGAGCATTGTTTTATGTAGTACATGTAAGTCCATATCGGCTCTGTTGCTTTTAACTTTTTAACTTACGGTAAATAAAGTATTAATTGGTGGTAACTGATTGATTGATTGACCAAATCATAAAGCGAAAGTTTCAGTATAGCGACGAGATGGGTGGAAGAGAAATGAAAATCTGTTGTTAATGTCATACGCGTTCATCCACCAAGAAACTCTTGACATATAAGAGGTCACAAGTTGTGATGTTTCTTTATGGTTGGATAGGACCGTGTCGGCTTTGACGCTCCCCTCACCCCTTCACCCTCTCACCCCCACCCCCCTCTCATTGAGCAAGTAAATTATACTCTTGAAATAGTCTGTCGGGATCTTAATAGGGTCGATAACATTTTCCGAGTAGTGAAGTCACCAACAACATTACAGAAGAGAATATTTTAAACAATTAGGGGCACATGAGATACTAAAAGGAAAAAGAAAGGAATATAATGAGCTCTCTTCTCTTGATGAAGCTTTTGTGTTCCTTATCTACCCGAAAACCTTTCTACTTTGTTTTGCTTTGCTTTGTTTTTGTGAAGATGTGAAGTTTTCTTCAAAGTGGTTACATTCGTTTTTATGGAATGAAAGCAGCCAAAACAGCTTGTAAGACGCGCTGAGTAAATGGTTACTGGGGTAACATCATTGGGAAATACAATGATCATCATACTGTAAAAATAATAATAGCCATAGTATTTTTTTTATAATAGAAATGTTAATAATAAATAGTTATAAATAGTAAACGATAAGTAATGATATGATAATCATAACAATGTTGATATCAACATTGATGATACAAAATGATAAGAATGATGATAATTCTTTTTTAATTTAAAAATGTTTTTCATAGTTTCCCCTAGAAGTACCTACAATCAGCAACAAAATTGTTGACACATTAAACCTTTTCGTCGCCATCCCTTCAAAACAATGTTGTATCGTGATTCCATAAGTTTTAAGAGTTACACACAGGACAACAATAAATGGGGGAAGAGGTTTTGTCATTGATTTAGAGTGTGGTAGAAAAAGAGCCTTATTCTACACATAAATAGAACTCTTAAAGGATGATGCGTCAACTAATTTTGACCTTGATTGTAGACTTAACGAGGGAGATTTCGATGATAATAATGACAGCGCAATTCTGTTTTGGTGGCGTTACCATTCGATATGAAAATGGTCCTAAACAATCATTTAACGGTCTTATGATCGGTACCTACCGCTTAAAGCATGTAATTGAATTAGGAATAAATCCACTTCCCTTTTACAAGGAGATTTCTTAAACAATCAAAGACATTTAACGATCTTATAATCGGTACCTACTGCTTAAAGTATAGAATTAAATTGGGAATAGATCCACTTCCCTATGATATGGAGGTTCCTCATCATTCGTCTCCTTTATGTTTCGATTTTCACCTCTACTTTTTGCTTTCGTTTTTCCAACAAAACTTTGGCAACCACTACTGTTTCTCAGCCAACTTGGCATTCAACCTTTCCAGGGACCGGGAGCCTGAGACGAAGGAGAAGGGTCTGACTCGGGGGGGGGGTCTGATATAGGAGGTCTTTTAGCCGTTGCGATATGGGAGGTCTTTTAGCCGTTGCGATTTTCTACTAAGAAACAATAAAGTTCATACAAGGTACCTGTAAAAATTGATTACTCCTATGACACCAAACAGAGCAATTTTCAATTGAGTTTTGGAAGCAATATGGGGTGTTCTCGGTTTCTCTTTACTTCGCAATGTGACTTTTCCAGAAATCACACGCCTCTTAAACAATCAGATTTAAACCTGAGACAAATCGCGACTTCTTCGGCAGCGTTTACCTGTGCCATGCACAATTTACTTGGTTTCACTTTAAGTTCTCACTCATAACGATTGCAGTGGACCATTTTCCCACGGAAAGGAGGACCTTTCCCAAACTATATCTACGTATGTTTCGTGTGTAACCTCTATTCCTACAGTGACATAGCCCACGAAAAATCACTATGAATACATGGAATTTCACATGATATTCCCAGAACCAAGTCGTGGGGTTTAGCAATGATTTATCCAACCGAGAGCAGTCTGCCAATCGGGAAGCAGCAAATGGTCAATACAGGAAACTGCAGCACATAATTGACCCATTGTTGTGATCTCGCGTTGAAATTGCGCCATATTGCCAAACACTTAACAAATTCGAGAGCCCGGGCAAAAAGAATGGCCAACTTTCGCGCTTCGCTATATAAGAACTAAATTTAAGGATTGGCATCGGTTAATTATTTGTCTTGTAACCGGAAATTTTACCACACCGGAAGCCCAAGCTGATCCCATCCAATGTCAATTACCCCTAGAGGAAATCTTGGCCAGACTAGATTGTAACCGCATCTATTGACTCCTTGCGGTATTTCCCTTTGCCCTGATTGACTGTTGAGATTACTTTGATTTTTGTTTTCCAACACGCAATGGAAATGTTCTCTCCCTCGAGTTTCAAAATTGTTTCTGGCTTGAGAGAGCCTATCTTTGGAAGATGCCTACAGTAGTGTGGGTATTTAAGTATTTTGGCCAACAACAAGTTAACAAAGAGTCAAATAGGGAACCAGACCCCTACAAACGACGCCTCAGATATTACAGATTCGTCGTTCTTTATGAAAAACCAACCGATGTTCTTTTCTTTAAGAGGCCCATGGATACAAATAAGCAAAGCATATGCTAGTACAACTAGTCACGTTCCACTACAGAGACAATTAAACAGCGTGCACTTTTAAAAAAAAGGCAAAATTGCTCCAAAGAAGTAAGATTTAAATTTAGAATTTTAAATAGCGTTTTCGTGTTTCTTTTTATTCCTTTTCTTTCGGACGATTTTCAATCCTATTATCCCCATTCTTGCCTGTGAAGGGTTTGCTGATATGGGCTTTCTTTTTTCGTCTGAAAACGTACATTTTCTTTTTCTTTCTTATGTCACAGCACATTTTGGGACAGGCATCCGAGCACTCTGAGAAACATGAAGGTTGACATTGTAGAAGAGGACTAGCTAACAATTCAGATAAATGATGCACCATTTTTGCTTTATAGTCTGCGTCGATATTCTTTAGGGATCTTCCTAGAGGTGGAACTGTTTCTTCGGGTGATTTCACCAAGAGCGGAGATATATTTTGTCGTTGACAACAATAAATAGGGCATACAGGGATACAGTATGACAAACAATAAGCTGGGCACTTTGACAAAGGAGAGGATACTGGAAGGAAGGACCCTTGGAAATCTGATCCGTTACTATTTGGAGTCTGTGCCGATGGTTGAGGTGGGTAAAGTGGATGATCTGTTGCTCCTAAACAACACTTTAACGGACAGGAACTGTCACAGTGATAAGTACAATGCGACGGACACGCATCCGGTGATGGCGATGGCAAATTATTTGGAAGGTATGGAACCTCGCAACAATGTTTTGGACAGCTTGGGAGGCAGTTATCAATACAAGTGCTTGGACAGTTATTCAATGGTGTAATCGATATCTTGCAGCAAAATTTTGGACACGGTGGTAAACAACTGGCACTGCAAGTAGAGGGGCATATTTGAGGAGCTGATGTTGGCTGCTGTGTGGAAAGTCGTGGCAGTGAACAGCAAAATGAAGGACAGAACCGATCACATGTCTCCTGGCACTGATCAGGGCAAAATGAAACTGGAAATATTCTGATTACGCAGCAGTGTTTCGGGCAGGCTGGAAGACAAGTTGTCTTGCAAATCGAATGACAAGCGAGTTGTGCTGGCGCAACCGTCGGTTGATACTGTGGTGTACAACAGTTGCTCGGACACGATGGCGCACAGCTGGTCTGACATTGACTTGGACATGCCGCAGCTATTGGCTTGACAACTTTGCAACAATGGCCAGGACATACCTGAGAGCAGCTTATGTGACATTCAGGTGGACAGGCTTGTTGTGGTGCACAGCAGTGACTGGGACATGATGGCGCACAGCTAGTCTGACATTGACTCGGACATGCCGTTGATGCTAGCGTGATAATTTTGCAACAGTGAACAGGACATGACTGATGACAGCTTATGTGACACTCAGGCGGACAAACAAGAGGGCTTGGCGATAAAGGGTGATCGAGAGTTTGAGGGCAGCAATGATCTGGACAAGCTGGTCCACAGATATGATTACAATGATCTGGACATACTGGGTGCTGTTCAGAGGTCTTACAGCATTTGCTCGGACACGTTTCCGGACAGGTTAGGCCTTTGCTACATTCTTCAGGACAGCTCGCTGGTTCTGGTTTTGGTAACGTGGCTTTGGAAACAGGAAGAATATACGAAAACGTCAGAAGTCCTCTCGTGAAATCATCTACGGTACATGCACGGAGGCTGCAAATGGAAGTTCAGGTCTTAGAATCTTTACTTAAGGAAGAAAAAGCTACTCGAGGTCAAATTCAACAAGCTGGTTCATTCGCGAGCTCTAAATTGAACATAAAGGTTTTTCGTATAATGATTAATGATGATCAAACGTGCGCACCTACCTATTTTAACTAAGTACATAATTATGTACAACTTTAAAACTACATAAATAATATCACTATTTGGAAAGAAATTGTCCAGAAATCTCGTGATATGGAACGGAATTCAGAGTATGAAGTTTAAATTTTGCTCACGCGCTCTCTATTATTGTAAAGATGTCCCAACAAATTTTGGTCACGATTGTGGGTTAAATATCTACTACTTACCAACACAATGGTGGCCGTCAAAAACAAATCCAGGTATGCAAATGCAGATTCCACGTTTACAGTGAGAGTGAAGTGGACAACCTTGGCAGTCATCCTCTAAAATATTATGCAGAGAAACTTGATTGGAAAAAATTCTTAAATTAGCAAATTCAACCAGCCGTTGAGAATTCTGATGCCTGACCAAAGAAAGCGAGAAAACGCGGGCGACTAAGACGTAATCTGAGTTTTACATCTGATTGGTTGAGAGAGTGGTGCGAATTTTGTGAACCAATTACAGAGTCCAGTATGCAAAACCAATGCAATTTTGAATTACGTTTGACACTCAGTTGTAAATTGTTCAAAAAATCTGGATTATCAAGAGCAAATTCAATACGGTTTAGCTGTTCAACTTACTGTGGCACTGCTGGCCGTTGCCAATGAATCCAGTCTTGCAAACGCATTCGTTGTTTATGCACGTTGCATTAGGGCTGCAATGATGGCAACGTTTAACTGGATTAATCAAGAAAATCGAATGCGTCAGTAGGTGTATCTTACCAAACTCATAACTTAGAATGTTTCGATTTTCTGCTTATTCTTTCCATATACACATGTACCTATCGTCATGCAATTAAAAAAAGAAATGCCAGCTATATGTTTAGTCCTGCACAGAGATTTAATACCAGAATAGCGCCTAAAATATCAATCTTTCTGGCGTTGCACCACAGTCTACGTACGAGTAAACTTGATTCGAAGATCTACCTCATGACGAGATATTTGAGTTTATCATTTTGCGATAGGAAAGAAACTTTATTGGGAAATTCTGGAAGCAAATGTGCACTTCTGTATTTGATATCTGCAAATATACATGTGTTTGGACGCGTAAGGGTTAAGTCTGCTAGTTTCCTATATTTGGACACGAAGTTCATTTAGACAAGTTCTAAAAGTCGTGTTACTTTATTTTAATACTATCAAAAACGAATGTAAAGCGATGCTTACCCTTTTTGCATTCAAAACCATCACCTTTGAAACCCACTCTGCATTTGCAAGCTCCCTGAACACATATGGCGTGAATATCACATTGCTCACAGTCATCCACTATTGAGACAAAAGTGAATTGACATGCTACATCGAAGTTGCAGTTTTCAACGACGAAAATGTTATCTTCATGCAGTCAACATTGATTTAAATGGTTTATTGTTCAAAGACGCTAGAAAAATATGGAGAGGAGGAAAAGAACTCTGCTCAGCCTTCATAGCTAATATTAGCTTCTTATTATTAATAGTTATGATATTTTTCCTTTGTTTCATTTCTACTAACTTATTCGTAGAAAAGAAACTTAGCACCCAAACAGAGAAGAGTTTAGTTCCCATTGAATTACTGCGCCGCTTCGAAATATAATCTGGAAAATTTTTTATAGTCCCAGGCTCCATACAATATTAGCACAACATGCATCTGTCTAGATAAGTAAAATAAGATAAGATATCATGACTTTGGTGTTGATCGCAAATAAGATCCGAACTTAGTGCTGATTTTGAGTTGTAAAATTGCGAATAATTAATTGAGATCACCTTTCAATTCATTACGTAATGTTGTGTATGTAGCAGCATGAATATATTCAGTTTTCCATGTTATTTAGGTTAGGTTAAGTGAAGTAAGTTAGCAGTTGTGTCTCTAACGATAAAAAGCTTTTCACGTTCCCTTACAAAACGTTGTCCTTCGCTGAAACACAACAACATCATACATTGTATAATCCAGTAGATCATGATTTAAATATTCACTGTTTGAACTTCAACTGTCATACGATATGGTCAAAGTGCTTGTATACCTTCACAATTAACCCCTCTGTACGAGCCGATGCATTTACAAGTGTATCCACTTTTGCTGTCAGTACATTTCCCTCCATGTAGACAAGGATTGGGATGGCAATATGACTTTGCTGAGGAGCGAATATACTCTCGTGGGTCAGTCCACATACAATGGAAATAGAATATTTTTTTTAAGGACGGTAATATTATTGAGCTCAGGAAAAAAAATTAAATTAAAAAAAGCAGCAACAACAGCAACAACTAAAAACAGTAACATAAGCGCAGTCAAGGGTATGTATAAGCTTGACCTTTAAACCCCGACGATAAATGAAGAAGGGCTACCAGATTCGCAAAAAGTGAGTAAGTCCTCTTAAAAATCGCGGCGCGTAAGTTTGAAGCTGACCTTATCTACTTTGCCACTCTAAAACTGTCGCAGCGAGCGAAGAGACTTTGTGCATCGATAATAAATAAGTATGAAGAAAACGCATTTATACAAACCTGTCACCTCGCACGTTGGCCCTTCAAATCCCATGGAGCACAAACATTGAAATTTGTTCGCTTTTGGAACACAGCTCCCTCCGTTTTTACAAGGCTCGCCTGCACAAGGGTCCGGTATTTTGTGGGAAGGCGGAGCTGCTCCTGTAAAAAAAACATAGATCTTGACGAAAATGTTAGAATGCTCTGATTGAAATCAGCATCCTTAATGTATGCCTTTAAATAGAATTGTGATAGTCTGGTTACGCCTTATGTCTAGGGTAGGGATTGCATGTGGTCTAAATAGATATATTCCTCTGATATACCCGTGTACATTGTATACATCAAAGTAACAGTAATATAAAAAAGCAAACAAAATGTAAGCAAGGAAATAAATGATGGTGCGATAGAAATTTCGATGCTTTAAGATAATAAAAATAGGTGAACTCTATAATGGATTTCTTTCTTTCTTTGTAGATGATGATGATATCTGTTGCCGTGCAAACGCTCTTATAATCACCTGAGCTGCCATTATTTTTTTCGGGTTAACGTGTTTTATGAATAAAAATACGCTTGCTCGAGTTTCTTACTCACTGGTGGATAGCTCACAGTTTTCTCCATCGTAATCAGATGTACAGACACATCTGTGACCGTTTGCTTCTTCGAAGCAAGATCCACCATGTTGGCAGGGATTCGGAACACAGAATCTTGGGTTTGAAGCTACAAGAAAACTAAAATGCGTCAAAAAAATAACTGAAAACTTTAATGTTTAAATGCTGAAGATAGATCTGTTTTGGGAGCATGCAACCTAGCAACTAAAAAAACCAATTATTAAGTTAAAAATCTTAAGAATGTCTTTGGTTTTTTCTAAATATCAGGTATTCATCCATGTAAGAATGACGCTGCTATTGACAAATACAGGTCCTCAAACACTTACGATCTACATAATTTCATTCTCTGCACCTAGTTTAATGACCTTTGTACACAAATAGTTACTTGGTAATATGGGCCACAGTGTCAGAACATGTAATGCATTGTACATTCTCTATTTGCAACGATAAATAACTCGAGATTGTACCAGAAATTACTACTTCTTTGATCACCGTTTCCGCATACCTCCCACACGGAAACATTCTCCCAAAGTCCCAGCTCCGTAATAACCTCCATCACACACACACTTTCCATTTTCACAGTGGGCATGGACATCGCATCTTGCACATTTATCCTCTGTGAAAGAAAAGCCACAGATCAGTTGAAAAGGCAGCGATCCTGATAGAAATTCATGATTGACTTATTGATTAGGCTCTACTCATTCGAAGGATAGATAACGCTATCCACTGGATAAATCTCTATCAGGTTGATAGCGCAGTAGGTTTTGTTAACACTTATCAGTTGGACAGTGCGTCATCCGTTGGATAGCGCTATCCACCCATCAAACAACCGGGGCCAGATACATGGTGAATACAACAACATCTGTAAAAATTCGATTTACGAAAAAAGAGGCTAGAGTCCAAACTCCGTAGAAAATATAGATTAAACTTGTTAAATGAACCACAACATTTTGCTGAGATGAAAATTCCGAAACTTCTTAAAATTCCAAACGCAGGAGTAACAAATTTATGCGAACGAAGAGAAAAGCTGTTTCTTAAAATTGAAAAACCAAAGAGATTTTCTTCACAAGCGGTGAATTTTTTTTAACAGAGACACAAGTAAAAGCAACGTAAGTTCATTACTATATGTGTGTGAGAGAAAAATGGTCACACAAAGCTTCAAAATAAATTTTGTTTACTTTTGAAACTGTGTTAGTTTCTTCAAACCTAACAGTTGAGGTACCAGTCTCCTTTCAGGATTTTACGCTAAGAAAAACTCATAATAAGTTTCTTCTCGATAACTATAAGGTTTGTGAATCAGTTGTTTAAATATCACCTTTTAAACGTGCATGACTGATACCAAAGGTAAGAATGAAGTGCAGTAGATAAATAATAATGTAAATAGAAACTGAGATGGAATCATACTTGAGAAAATGTCTAGCAATTATTATTGTGTACTTGATAGATGACGATGAACAAAGGAGGATTCTTTCCATAATACAGATACCTGCACATGTGAAGCCTTCAAACCGTTGAGTACACTGACAAACATAGGACTTCGCCTTCAAGTGACAGGTACCGCCATTTTTACACGGATTTGGCTCGCAGGCACTGGCTTCTAGGGTTCGTAAGGAAAAAATGATCATTTGATCAGTTTTTAGCCCTTACAGTAAACTTTAATTACAAATGCGATAACTGCCTCACCTTCGCAGTTCTCCCCATTGTACCCCTCTCTGCATCTGCATATGTAGCCGCCTACAATTCCTCCTTCAATGCATGTCCCACCATTCTCACAGGGATTTCCCAGGCAAGGGCTGACATCTTGAAAGAGATAATTTGCGGAATGTTGATCGTTTATAGTTAATCGCAAATATTCAGGTGTCATTTCTATGTATGTGTCATGTAAATATAGAGACGTGTACGAGAATGCATAACGCCCGGCCGACATGCAACCTGTTGGAGTTCCAGCGAAAAAGTTCGCTTACATGACAAAAAAGCAAACGAATCAACAAGGTAAAAGCAAATCCAGAAAATCGTATATGTCAATTAGCGTTTGCCAATTGCCTCACAGGTCCTCCTTGAATTATACTGTTTCCCCTTCATGTTTTGGAGATTTTTTTAATTTCTTGATTTCTTTTACATACCTTATACTTCTCACACCTTCTCCTCGACATATTCATTTATTCTCCATCATTTTCGTGTTTAATGTAAGTTAATCCACCTAAGATATTTCATTTTTCTCGCCTCTTCTGGCGATGTGTGTTTATTTATTTTATTGTTTAAGCTTCAAATTTTAAGTAATCAAATCACCCAATATGTATGTGTAATAATTAACTGGCAATCATATCCATCTCAGAAAAGCCTTACGTTTGCACAATGGTCCCATGTAATGCTCAGCGCAATCACAAGTGAATCCTTTTGCTGTTTCATGACAAGAGCCACCATTATAGCAGGGATTAGGATGACAAACATTACTCAAGGGGGAGCCTGTAAGGAAAAAAAAAGGAAAAAAGAAAAAAAAGATATTGCAATTATTGCAGCTTTATAAACCTGTCTCTACCTAACATACTCTACAATGACCGTGGATAGACCATGATGGTCACCAAAAATCAACAACTACAACAGCAAATCAAAACTGCAGATAAATAACAAAGTCGTAATCCATTTTAGACAGTGCTTAACTTAAACAATGATACAACAACTGAACTGTCGCTAACTGCCTCACGGACTTTAAAGGAAACGATCTTATGGGTCGATATATATATATATATATGGCATTTTCGAGATACCCAAAGTCACAGTTTTAGCTCAAGTCCAATCGCGAAACCTTTTATTAAAAAGCAAATTTAATTTCTCTTGAAAATGAAATGAGTGTGAAGAATTTACGCTTGGCCTCACCTTGAAAGTGAGGGATTTGGAGCTTGGCAATGGTCTATTTTTCAGCTTAACCATCTTTACGTCGTGGTATGAGGTTAGTCAAGCTATAATATTTATGTGTGTATCTAAAAAATTCAATCTCTTATTCACTCACTCACTCCATTCTGATCTGTTAGACAAAGATTTTGTGCATTAAACATGGATGAACGCGTTATTTTTTAATTACTTTCATGATCAACAAATTTTCGATCTCCCTCTGTGTCTTGTCATGAAAAAAATTGATGAACATCGAAAATGAGTTTTTTCGATTGTGTTGCCTGATCTAGTAGAAGACAGTAGAGACTGCCGTTTCACAACCTGAGAAAGGGACATCAACAGAGCTAGGAGGCTCTTCTCAATTTGTCGAAGCGGCAGTCACTTGTTCCCATTAACAACAGTCTTTTAGAGGACTACTTTTACTCAGACAATCAGACTACAGGATCAACTATTACTACTCGGTTCAAATCATTTAGTGTACTACTCAATCAAATTTACCTGTAATCACGTGAAGACTAGTTGGCGGCGCGGTTGGTGTGTGCTCACTGATCTCCGTAACTTTCAACACTACAAAATACAGATTTCTGTTACAATGCCTTTCGCTTACCGTGTATATATTGTGAAAGAAGTTCGTTATGAGACAATTTCAAATGAAAATTCCTATTATTTTTTTCTTGATCATTTAAGTGGTTTTTCCCATGGCTCCCTCTTATATGTTGGTAGATCCGGCTTTCTTTTTCGGCTGGTCTCTTTGCCTGCTTTTGGGTTTCACTGTTATCTTCTTCCTTGAACTTACTTTTTCTTTAACTGATTTGTTTTCGTTCTTAACAGTTAGCTGTCTTGCTCCCCGTTTATCGGATTTCGTGTGCACGTGTTTGGATGCAGGCAAAGATGGACAAACGCTGTAAAACTGCCATTTTATCACCCAGCTGCGCTTTTTCTTACTTCTATGAACACATTTACAACAACCAGGTGGGGAACTTTGAATTATAACCGAGTGGAAACCAAGCTATGACATTAATCCCAATTAATCTTGAGTATCATACAGATCATTGTTCTTTTCGGAGATTCTGAACAATCACGAAAAGTAATTATGTGCTGCTTGTTAAATTCCTTTGGACAACTAACGGGTTGTTTTAATGCTCCCACCGAAATATTCGAGCAACGCGCGAGTTGAAGTTGGAATTATTCCCTGTAGAATAGATATCTTGCATTGAATTAAGTAATGTTAACAATGTTAAAGATTCCATAGGAGGGGATAAGTTCTCTGAGCTTAATCCTCTTTGCTATATTCAAACTTCAGAAAACAAATTTTATAAATACCTTCACATACATTGCCGTTTCCGCCGTATCCTTCTTCGCAAACGCATTTCCCATCAAGACATCTGGCGTGCGCATGACAATCAGCACACAACACAGGAACGGCCGTCATTTTGACTGAACCTCAAGGATGAAAATAAAAAGATTCAATTTGTTTAAAGATATAGAAAAACTGTCCGTTAATATCCCAATGAAATACTTACAAATAAACGCTTTCAGAGAACCGCCTTAGCTACTGTTGTGTCATGTTTGACTAAAACAAACTTGCATCATTTATGGTGAATATTTCTGTAGTGCCGGAACCAACCTTCGCATGTGTTTCCTGAAAATCCACTTTTACAAATGCACTTATATGTGTTTTCTACGGGAACACATTTCCCTCCATTTACACAAGGATTATTGAAGCAGGCGCTGTGTAATTCTGTAGGGACTAAAATTCAAAGTTGGCATAAGTTCTGACTTTGTTAGATGAAGACATATATATTTCAGAAGACTTAGCGCCACGTTGTTGTTGTCATCGCTTCTTTTCAATCAGTCGATCATCGATCACGTATAAAAAAAGTTCACGCCAATATTGCTCTAATTTCTTACATGAAGCGAATTCACCTCTGTGTGGAGCGAGGTCACTTTTGTATTGAGCGAGGTAACTTGTATTTTGGAGTGATTTAACTCTTGGTTGGAGCAAACTGACTTTAAGAGATCTAACCGTGGAGCGAGGTAACCGTAATTCCAACAAAGTATGTATTCATCAGTTCCGAAATTTCGAGGGACCCTTATCATCAGATATCATTCTCGTCACGCCCACTTAACATGGTAGGAAATAAATGAATAAGCACATGACTTCACCATCTTAAGATCTCTTGTAAAGTAATTCACGATTTCACATTATGCATAACAACGCTTTTTTTTTTAATTTGAAATATTATGAGCCCGCTATACACATCGTTTCAGTAGCTCCCTCCTACAATACCTTCGCAATGCCGTCCCTGATACTTGCTGGAGCAGATACAGTGAAAGCCTTCTTCCTCGTCCTCTTCACACGTTCCTTCATTTTGACATGGTTGAGATTCACATTTAGAAAATTTTTCTGGAAAGAAAATGTAAAATATAGTATGTAGTTTACTTAAACACCATTCCTTTAGAGACTAAAGTTACTCCTTCAACAACTTGCACCATTATTGTAATTACTAATCCAGCCTGCCGCTTTATTTATAGCACAGTGTACATATATGTCTACATTTGCTTCATTTTGTCCTGTTTGATGAGATTAGGCATTCAACACTACTTGAGATTTACCCAAGAAAAGCCGAATTTCTGGCCGTCCAAACCGACTGATTAAATAAAATGTTCGCAGGTATTAACACTGTAATGGTTTTTACTTATACTAAAAAGATATATAGTGTGCTTCGACACTTCCAGATTTCCAAACGCTTGTATGTTTTGAACATATATTGTCAAAACGATAACACCAACTATTCAATAATGGAAATTTGAATAACAGACCAAGTGTCCCTCGTCCTACCATCACACGTGATTCCTCTGAACAGCACAGGACATAAACACATGAACTGCCCAGCACCGGTGTTGTGACAAGTTCCAGAATTTTGACATGGATTAGTGTAGCACATGTCTAAATCTGAGGAAAATCAAAGAAACAATTAAAAACAAAACGAGTAATGAGTCACGAGGTATTACTATCAGTTTGTTAAAAGTGTTCCTATTTCAGACTTTTTTTTCCGAACAAATATGAACGCAGTATGTATGTAACCAGCGGTCTAACGAGGAGTGATCCTAGTGGTAATTTTAAGACTTAAAAATTTGAAACGACTGCTGAGGTAAGCACGATCAAGAGTTTTGACAGTGGTTAATAAATGAATTATACATCAGAAATTGAAGAATACAGTGATCATCCTTCGTTACCCGAAGTTTCCAGAGCAACGCAATGACAAACGGTTAAAGCGTAGAAACCCAAAGCGAGATTTTGTACCTTTTAATCTTTCAATTAATCTGGCACTCTATAGCTTATGTAGTTTTTAGACCCTTTTATCTCCATAGTGATGTAAATTACTGTTTTAAGTCTTCACATACCCTGATATTAGACATGGTTATATGAGTTTCAATGGACTTTTATTGACAAGAACATCATGCCTACTGCACGGAAAAAGAACCTCATTCACAATCAATTCTAGACATCTCTGCTCAGACCAGCTGATTTTGCAAGCTATCAGGTGTCACCTACCTCCACAATCTGAGCCATAAAATCCTGGTAAGCAATGACACTCAAAGTTCTTTTCTCCATTTAAGCAGGTCCCGCCGTTTTTGCAGGGGTTCCCAATGGCACAATGGTCAGCAGCTGTGAAATTGAAATGAACTATCTCGTCACTAACATGATTTCTGCTATCCTTCCAGACGTTTTACACGCAACCTTTTTTTTTCGTTTGGATAAAGAGATCTCTTGAGGCCATCTTAGGCCTGTTCGGAATGATAGATAGCTAACAATGAATTAAAAGCGAGGCAAATAGAAGATTTTAATATCTTTTAACATGGGACCAGTAAGCCAGACATGTATACTTGTCACTGGATATCTTCATGATCATCTATCATCCTTATTCTTTGCGACACCACTATTGACACAGCACTACCCATTCGATGGCGTACATCATCAATGTAGTTTACCTTCACAATTACTGCCTTCAAATCCAGGAAGGCAAAGACACTTGTAAGAGCCACCGTTCTCCTCACACGTGCCTCCATTCTTGCATGGACTGGGGATGCACTTGCTAGTGACTGTGGAAATCAGAAAAACAATTATACTCCGTCCCTTACCGTAAATCAAATGTCCCCACCCACCCCTTCTTTTAGTCGTGCTAATTATGTGCCCGGTAAAAGAAATGACTGCTTGTTAAGAAGCGCATTGAACGAGAACTCGGAAAAAATGACAAACCGACACGAGAAGAGCGAAGAAAAGAAGTCAACTGCTTCTCAGTAGACTATACTTTATTTATCTATCTTGTTTTCGTGCAAAACTCGAATCGAGTGCATGGCGTATAAGGCATATATTTTGCTGAGCATTATTATCCCTCTCAACAACTTTTATTACTGATAGGCGCATGCGCAACTCCACGATATACTTCTAGATTAAAATAGGCAAATGATCAGATTTTATTCGCAATGCTTTTTCACTTTACAACAGTTAATGTAATGAAAAGCTTAAGATTTTTTTTAATTGTCACTCACTATCACAGTTCGGTCCTTTGAATCCTTTGACGCATGTGCAGTGGTAGCCGCTTGCCGTTGCATAACAGTTTCCTCCATTTTTACACGGATTCGGGAGGCAATGGTTGACCTCTAAATAAAATAATTATAATATTGATCTATGCGCATGGTAAGTTTATAACACATTGAGGTGTGGTCACTGCTAGAGACTTCTGGCCATCTGCAATCAATTCTGAGACTCTCTCAGTTGTTTTCTGTTGAATAAACTACCTCGTAGGTGACAAATTCAAAAGAATTTGATGATAGTGTGAGGTCCCATCACGATATGATAAAATTTCTTCGATTTCATACTTTCAAGGGAAAGTTAATAGATACTTTTACTATTTTGATCTCTTAAGTGATTCGCGCCTTAAAATGGATTTGCTCAACCAAGGAAAGTTTTAAAGTACCCAAGTGTTCACTTGTATCAAAGATACAATCAGTTTTGCCCGTATTTCAGATAAGTCTATTAGCGCTCTGTTACAAATACTAAAATCTGATGATCTGTGAGAGAGATTAGGTAAAGCGAGAAGCTTAAGGGTGTGCGGTTGCAGATGAAACAAAAGAAAGGAACAACACGAACTTGTCTTGTCGTTGTTTTGTACCACTAGTGCATTTGGACGAAAGCATTTTGATTGTTCACTTTCGATTTCTGCGTGAGATGGATGTGCTCAGAAAGTAATTGTCATATAGAGCTAGTCAAGTAATTAGTGGAGAGTGCCGATTCTTTTGAGAATCTGCACTTACCTTCACAATCCTTTCCCATGAATCCCATAGGGCACTCACACTCGTAGTGCTTTTCAAAAGCTGTACATACACCATCGTTCTTGCACGGATTAGGACTACATTTCGCTTTTGAAACACCTGGAATACATTGTACATTATTCTCACCTATTCTTGTAGAGAAACACTTACTGACGAAACTAGCATTTATGTTATTTGTGGACAATGTTCTCGCTACGATTCGGGATACGTTTTTAACGCCGCATATCAAGTTCGACAGAACACTTAACAAATACAAAGGTAAGTTTATGTTTGTCAAGGGAAATAATCCGTATGACGGGGATCCCTAAATTAATTTACTTAATAGGTAAATAAGATAGGCATGTACAAACGATGACACATTCACATTTTTGTCTCCGAGCAATTTCCTTACAGCTTATTTCCTTTGAAAACCTACCTTTGTGGACGTGACGATTCACATGTTGACGTATCTCCCCAGCCATCTGAAAGGGGAGTGGCGGTTCAAACAAACCTGGCGGTGGCTCAAAGTTAGCTGGAAGATTCGCAGGTATATCAGGCGGATCGAAATTAGCTGGAAATTCGTCTGGTGGTGGACCGATAGTCGTAGGGAAAGGTGGTAATGGAGCACTCTCATGCATAGGAGTTATTTCAGGAACAGGGGCAAAGTCAGGGGGGTGTAGGAACGCGTGGTCTGGGGTTTCCTCTCGTAGGTGCACAGGTTCCATCTCATGTAAATGGGAAACGGGCTGGGGTGGAAATGGTAACGGTGGAGGACCAAGTCCAATAGGACCTGGTACGAGAGAGGCGGGAGGAGGTCCTTCTTCAAGATGAATAGCATTGGGGGAATGTATCGGAGGAGACACAGCCGGAAACTCTCTTTCTGGGTTAAAAGGGGGAAACTGCCGTATAAAAGGCCCTGTTGGTCCTGGAAAAGGCGATCTACCGGTTAAAGCATTCAATAGTTGCTTTCGCTGAAATTGAACTGGAAGGAATAATCTTTTAACAGCTCCTCTTTGCTTTTGAAGATTCACGTTCAGTTTCCGTAGGTTTTCCATCACAGTTTTGAAGGGTGTCGGTCCCCATATGTGAATAGCCTTCAGAGGTTTGGTCTTTTTAAGTCGGTTTTTTATCACAGCAGAAGTTGCAACCACTCGTAACGGCTTTGCTGGTTGCGGTAATAACGATGCATGTGAAGCCTTTCCATTCGAAGCTTTGTTGCCAGAGATATTATTGCTTCCACGTTTAAGTCGTCCTGTCGAATGCGAATAAGCTTCCAAAATACTTTCTTGTCCATGTTTCACCGCTTTGTCGGTTAAAAGCTGTTTTTTTAATTTTGTGTGATAGGGATAAGTTAAGTCTCTTCTATATCTTGGATGAAAGCCCTTCACGGAACGAGACGAGTTCCTCAAAGACCTCTTTCGAAGACGTTTACAATTCGAGTAATTAGTTGAAAGGACGACGAACCATAGAATCGCGATATGTAAAAATTGTTTCATTGCGAACTTCTGACGCATTGTCTAAATATTGCCACAAATCCCGCCATTTGTTTTGTCTAAATTTCCTGTAACCGCTTAAATTCAAACATCACGGTTATTTCGATCGCTTTTCACGGTCGAAGTGATTTCACCGATATGATGATATCACGCAAGTATTAACAACAAAGTACTACCAAATAACTACCCGCCACAAGTCAAATGTCAAAGATGGGCGGTCTTTAGTGATGTCTGAATTCTAAATGATCAAGCGGTGACCTGTGAATGAATTCTGAAATCCATCCAAATTCACTGAACAATTTAACAGCCCTCGATTAACTGATATTTACTGTTATCGGTATCCAGCAAGAATAATGCTAATTTTCAAAAAAGTATTCAAATTTGTAAAGATTGGAGTCTAGTGGTTTAGTAAATAAAGCTGTTCAGTTTATTTTTTGACAAATTTTCTTTGCACGCTCACACGTTAGACAATAGCTGGCTAATTATACCCTCGCATGCTTTCAGTCTCTAACAGCATATTTTTTTAATTCATCTCTACTGATAAACCACTCTCCAGCACTCATTACTACGTGCAAACACTAATTCGATTCCAACAATTTTAACATTAAATTAGCTTTGTCACATTGTCTGTCTACTCAAATATATTTCTTTCTATTGTTTGTTTTTAATTACTTTAATTGGTAGCAGTCAGTTCATAGAAAATTTGATGGCAAGTGTTAGAGTATTCTTTCCCTTTCTTAGAAGCAATGGCACCGAAAAAGTTTTCACATCATGGGGGTCCTTCATTCTGAATATATCTACTTCATATTAGATCGTGCAGAAATTTCTGCCAGTAGTTATTGAAAATGCTTTGTTTACCAGTCAGGCGAGCAGATTGTTTTAAGAATTACTTTCTACAGGTAAAATCATAGATTCGAAATTGAGCTCTTTTTCTACATAACGACTTGCTGCACTGTAGATAATTTCCAATTCACAAAATGGCAAGTCTTTCTCCAAAGTTGTCAGGAAGACGTTTCTCGCACATGATACCGTCAAACCCTTGCTGACACACACATGCAAATCCATATTTACTATTGGTGTATGGTCCATCTACGCATGTGCCGCCGTTTAAGCAAATACCAAGGGAGCATGGTCTTGAGACTGTATAGGGAAACAGACAGAGTACAGTACATGGAAAAAACTATTTGGAATTATTTGCTGGGTAGTCGGAAAAGTTCTGTTGTTACCACTTCAGTTAATACATCCAGCGCCCACAAAAGATAAAATCAATAAGCAGCTCTAGTTGATTAGGTTTATTCTTTCACGAAGTTCACGTATTGAGTGCCTTTTTCTCTCCCTTTAGCTTTTAGTATCTATTGAATTTTATGAAGAAATTGTTAATTAGCTGAGAACTGTAGCCTAAAACAAAAAATATTCTGAAAATTATACTTATTCTGCCTTGAGAGGGTCGAATTAACGCTGGACAACACAACATACCTGTATTCCACAGATAATGAAGTAAAACTGCAAAGTCTCCGTACCTTTACACCTCTTTCCAGAGAAGCCTTGTTTGCACTGGCAGGAGTATTGATTACCAAATCTTAGACAAACCCCATCATTATGACAAGGGCTAGGGTGGCATGCAGAGGCTATACAAAGATACGGCATCGGTGTTATGGTTAGTGAAAAGTTTAAGTGCGATGATTAAATATATTAGCTGTCGATATTAAAATAAACGTTATTTCGAGAAATATTTAATCAGTTATAAAGCCGTATTTCAAATATCCATGTCCCTTCCTAATTCGGGCAATGTCCATTCGATACGGCCACACAGCCAAGAATGGGAGAGGTAGGTTTGTGAAGGGACAGATTGAGCTTTTTTAAATTGATGTTATACCATCGAGTTATGTCTTTTAATTACAAAATTATTAACTGATCTATTTATCTTTATATCTAGCGTTATTTTTTAAGCAGATAAAGACAGATATCTACAGGCAATACTATAATAAAAGTTATATTAGATAACTCTGCGGATTTGTATGATTGAATCATGGGCCTTTAAGTCGAGTACACCATAAAAAGAACATACATGGGAACATGCCTTCCTTTTTTTCATATTACAGACAAACCTACAAATTTTACTGACTTCGAGTGAAGAGGAGACTGAAAAAGGCGTATTCGTGGTCAAGGTTCTATGTCTGATTGTTTTCTTGTTCTCTTTAGACATAAATTACTACAAAACGATGAAAAAACGATCTGCTTTCAGGAAATGACTGATTTAAATGATAGTTACCTTCACACCGCTTTCCATAAAATCCAAAGCGGCAGTCACACCTGTACCCAGAGCTTTCATCTCTACATGTTCCTCCATTCAGACAATAAACAGAATTACACTCGCTGATAACTAAAAGGAATGAAAAAATAGCGCGAGAATGGAGTCAAACATAGGCCGAAAGAGTTTTTCTATTTGGTGTCCAGACAAAACTTTTGATCGAGCTTTGAAGTTCGCGACTCTAGCAGCAGGTTAAACTCTACACGCATCAAATGGTCAGTCTACTTTATTCTTTTAGATCGCAATTTGAGCCCTATATCATCACTGACAAGGGAGGGGCAATTTTAAGCCACCGAAATTATTGACGAGAGCTGCCTTTGTGAGGCAAAATGACTGACGGGTTTCATCGAATTTGGTTAAAATTGTGGCTAGTTAAGTTACTGTTTACCAACTTTGTACACCCGTATACAGCTCCGCATGTGCAACAATTGGCCGATATCTAAAAATGCTTTTTAAAATTTATTTTGCAAAATTCAACCTCTTTTCTAAAATATATTTCAATAAATCCTTAATAAACTATTCTCGCATGGGCAAGGTTATCATCAGGCTATATTACCACTGACCTTCACAAGTCTTTCCTTTAAAACCTTGTGGGCAATTGCAGATATAACTATTGCCCATTTCAAAGCATACACCATCATTCTTGCACGGATTTGGTAGGCACTTGTTGTCAACTGAAGGAAAACACAAAGTAAACCAAATTAAATGACGTTTAAAAGTAAAAATTACTAGATGGAGGACATATAAGCTTTTTAAGAAGTGAACTTAGTAATATAATAACCGAACTTTGGTTACTGTTAAAGTACTTTATATCGAGCCAGCTCCAATGTTTATAAATATAAAATTCCTGGATCAATATCAGTATCTGGGCAACTGTCCACCTACCCCTTCCCTAACCCAACAACAGTCTATTGATAACAAGTAAGGGTTAATATTGGGTTAGGGGGAGGGGTAGGTGGGCAGTTGCCCAGATACTGATATTGGTCCAAATTCCTCCACGGGAAAGAAGAACCTTCTAAAACGAGATTCACCCCCAGCGTGTGGCATCGAAGCTCGGGTTGTAGTAGCGCTAGACAAGCATCTGGGAGGCACAGGTTCGAATCTCGTCGGAGCCTGGACCTTTTCTGCAATTGCTTCAATTGCAGTCCACCTGCGAAGATAACTATTTGCTTGAAACACCGCTGTATCAAAGCTATGCCTCTTTTCTTCATTATTAAGACCTGCGTACGTCGAAGATAGAGGTACTTGCGACAAAAAGTTAAAAGTAGTAATATGTAATTTGATGATACTCACTTTCACAGTTTTTCCCTTTGAATCCTTCTGGACATACACAAGTGTATGAATCCTCAGACTCGCTACATGTGCCGTCATTACGACATGGGGTTGGGTGGCAAAGACTTCGTGCTACAAGGATGAAAGTACTCGTAATTATATGTATTTGAAAAGAATTACAGCTAAAAGTTGGTCAGGTACTAACAACGTGCTAAGGCAGCAGAAATTATGCATAGGAGACGTAATTTAGGGATTCTTCCTTGCTTGGACAATCAACAACTTACTTTCGCAATTCTCTCCAAGAAACCCCACAGGGCACGTACACAGATGTCTTCCAACTGCAATTTCGGTACATGTTCCTCCGTTTTTACATGTTGAAGGTCTGCACTCTTTTTTAACTGTACGTTCAACAGCATATAAATCAGTTTCGATAAGCGATTTCCCAAGTATAAAATTAAAATAACTGTCCTAAGCCTTTTTGGCAACTTGTGCAAAGCAAAATCCGAAGCTAACTAGCATCTGGCATGAATAGCATTGAAAGTTCACTTTCACTTTCAATTTTTCACTCTTCGCACGACAAACGTGTCACTTAATCACTTAGGTTTCATTTTAAGATTCTAACTGGAAACGTAAAGTTCGTGGAAGTGTTTTACTCCAAGGTTTCGCGCTTTATTTGGTTTGTTTGTTTGCTTGTTTCTTCTTTCTTGTGATTTTGTTATCAAATCGTCACTTTCAAATCCTAAGACCCACATTTGAGAACATTCATATACCTTCACCTCGAATAACAAACAAAGCAGCAATTGCATCTGTTCCCGCGCCAAATACAGCACACTGAGTTGAATCTAATCAAGGGAATAAGCTTCTTAGTCGCTCTTTGCGACGTGAGTTAAAAAAAATGCAACAAACTCCAAACATAGCAATATTAAATGAATATGCCTACAAATTTATATCATCATGTATTGCTAAATCACAATTTGCACGAGCCTTTGTAACAAATTCTCTAAGCTGTGCTAACGTAGAGCATAAAAGAATTTAACTCATCGTATATTTTTTATTTCATCATATATAACCTTCGCATCTTGTTCCAATGAAACCAGGCAGGCACTCGCAATAAAATCCATGGCGCCTTGGAACGCACATTCCGCCATGGTGGCACGCATGGAAAAAACATGGTCCTGAGTAGATAAGAAAAAAAGGGCTTCAACCCAGCTATCAGGACTACTCAAAAAAGTGCATTGAAATCAAAAGGTTAAAGACATATAATGTAATTCTAAGTAGCACTTGAATATTCATTGTATATTGTATATATTTACTTTTTTCTCTTGGTGGCATTGGTGTATGCAGTGACCCTGAGAGCGAAAAACTAAAATTTCACTTGTCAAATCGACCGTGAGGGGTAACTGAAGCCTTTCTAGGACCAAAGTTGTTAATATAGCCTCACAAAATATTTCTATAAAGTGCTTACACCTTTAATTCCCGGGCAACTGACTCTTAACGATTAGCATCCTCGATTGTCAGAAAACTGTTTTCAGTGTTTTGGGGTGAGAGGCAGTTGATATCAATCTTCCACTTCGGTGACACTAGGCAGTGTTTCATTAATTTCTTTTGGAATATTTGTTAATTCTGAACTGTGTTTGAGAAACCGCGACAGAGGGTATGGAAAGTAAAATAAATACGTAAAAGGCAAAGGTCATTCAATAGCTACCTCTCTCTCCTCGATGAACCAGGAACATCCTTCGGTCAACGGGCCTTGACATCGGTTCATAGGGAGGAGCTGGCGCGAAAAAGAAGTCCCTCTTGTTAAAACTAACAGTTTTTTTAGCATCGTTACCTTTCTTCAGCCTTCTCTTTAAAGAGCTGGCTTTGTTCATGCTATCGTATAGTGAAGTAGAATATTGGTGGCGCTTTGTGCGTAGTTTTATGCTGCCTGGGATCTGCGTCTGTTTAAGTACAATATCACTTCCTTGTGACAACACATAATCCATTTGTGCAATTGTTTGTTTCTTCCCGATACTCCTCCAGATTGGACTTTTCTTTAAAATCATCGCTGTTTCAACAAATATCATCGAAGAGAGTATTGTCAAAATATCTAGAAAGGTTATCAAAATACAACACAACAGCATGACGATGACTTTTTTTTACATTTCTTGGTGTCAGTTCTGTCGCCCAAAAAGCTCATAGGATAATCCCGTCAACGGTTGTCTTTTGCATCTTCCATTAGGAAAGGCAAAGAAACACAACTTGTTCCGGTTCCGAGGCGCTCTGATCATTAAAGATTGAACGTTTTTTCCGCACTTGTCAACTTTGACCCATTTTCCTTTGTTTGCGATCGCTACGCCAAATTAACCGTGAAAGGACAACCTGTCCTTGCAAAAACTGTCATTGTTTTAGAATAGCACCTTTTAAAATTGATCAAGCCAAGTCTCTCTCATTCTCTTTGTTTCGATACCGAGGGCTCGGTTAATTTTCCCCTAGATATAGCTGCAAGTCAATAGACACCATTGCAATAATTAGCAACCAGTTGGCTCGTTTTATTCGTTATGTCACGATCTCAGCATGAAAGCATTTAAAAGCGTTTGTAAATGTACATGTACAAGCCGAAATCTGTGCGGGAAAAGTGCACTAAAAAAAAAATCTGTCTCATGAATTGAGCGATTAATTCGACCTGCTTTCATGGCACTTTCTTTGTAAAAAATCAAATCAAGCTTTTTTTTGGTCGATGATAGATTTTGCACCCCAGGAGTGAGATCATGGGTGAGAAAATCTGTGGAATTTCGCATCCCCATCAGCAATTGTCAGTGAAAAGATTGATTGGAGGCAACTGAGCAATTGTTAAGACAATGAATTTAAATTTAGGCATAAACGCGCAGGTCATGATTGTTCTTAAAACTGAAAACTGAAAACGATCTAACTTGATCCAATTGGAACGACTACTAGGCAAAACAAAAAAATGAGAAAGAAGATAAGAGGAAGGAGTTTTCCAGCAAATGTTAGATCGTTTTGGTCACTGCAACCTCTCTGGTTTTCTTTTGTTTCTTCTTTCAGAGACCTAAAAAGTGCTCTTCATGCATCTCACGCCTTTTGATCTGCTACCCATGGCGATTGACCACAATGAGTAATTTATCAGCTCTAAAATTAAGGGCATGAATAAATATTTGATGGCTGTTGAGTTAGATGAGATAATTTCACAGAGAAACTTTTTAGTCTTCTTTTCTTCACTCAGAACGGTTTCCGGTTAAAGCCAGTGTAATCCCTCAAGTCTTATCATCCCATGAAAATGGTTACTTTTTAGACCACCTCAGATGACACTTGCATATGAATCCGTTTTCATGTTTAAGTTTTGTTCACCTTTTTACTGCTTTGGCGTTAATCGGCACAAATGGAATCACGGGTTTACAAAGGAGTCATGTAAATCGACTTCCAAGTCGGGATGGACGTAGCACAAAAGGGTTAAGAAGCATAAGGTCTAACAGTCGCCAATCTAAAACAGAGGGCGGTCCTATCATCGACATTGTAAAAAGTTGGAGGATCAAACGAGACAACAGCCACCTGCAGGCTAACAATGACAGTAATTCAAAGCCATGCAAGGGAAATTCGTGCTTATGGAGTGCAAAACAGCCTTTCAAAACCAAACCGAGGCGTTCAGTGGTAAATCGCCGTCGAAGAAGACAGTCTGTCTTCTTAGCCAAAGCACTTGACATGTTGGATCATGCTAGACCTGGGGAAGATAGCAACTTTGCCACTCGCGCAACGGCAAATAGGCCATTCAAGCCAATTACCACCATTAATAACAACACAAACAAAATTACAGTAAAAAATTCTACGCTGATTAACAAGCCTACAATGAACAAGTCTGGAGATAAAAGACAGGGATGGTCTGATCCCACGGGTGAGATGAGACCGCGTTTCTTTTTCAATAGTGCACCCGCAGAATACGTCGAGCAGAAACCTCCGTCTTTGAGAGCTGGTCCGGGACCAGATAATTTAGCATTGCCTCCAGAGACTAGAGCAGGGCCACCTGTACCTTCCCACTTGCACCGGATGAATCCATTCTTAAAAGGAGTCAATAATGGCTTACACGTGGGAAAGCATCCTGTCCACTTTCCGCACATACCAGCTACTTTCCTCGGTAATCCCTTATCCCATCGCATGACTGGTCCGTCCCATTTCCATAATCATCTACGTCACCATCAATTTGGTCCTCCACCATACGCCATCCACATAAACGCACCACCCAGACTAGAGCCTCCTCTTTCACCCCCTAATCTAATACCTCAAAACATCCCTCCCTTTCCTCAACCACCTCCAGAAATATTAGGTGGGCCAATGCCACCTTTAAATCCACCGGTAGGCTTTGAACCTCCCCACTCACCCGGAAATGACGCAGCTATGCCTGGGGACGTCAAAATGCTACCGCCAGGAGGCATTCCCATGCCGCCGCCTCCTATCAATTTGCCGGAGAGCATGCCACCTGAAGACTTGTCACCCGTTTTACCACCAAGACCTCCTTCTGGGGTTGAGCCTCCACCACCCGACTTTGAAATAATGCCACCTGCTGAGATCCCGGTTCATACAAATCATCCTATTGATGCACCAACTGGAGCACCGAGTAACCTTCAAATTACGCCGCCACTAGGAATTCCTATGCCTCCGCCTGACTTTCAGATAATGCCACCTCCAGAGACACCTATTCAAACAAATCCTCCGATGGATACACCTATTGGAATGCCAAGTAATCTTCACATGACACCGCCGCAAGGAAATCCTATGTCACCCCTTCAGGCTGCTTTACAAGGAATCTCTATGCCAGGTGAGGAGCCACCGATGCCACTTCCTCATCATGTTCATCACGTCCCTTTTCCTGTGGCGGTTCCATCACCACCTAGAATAGAGAATGTACCTTACCCAGTTCCCATTCCAGGTCCACCATCTATTCAGCCTTTAGTTGTGCCCGTCCGAGTTCCATCACCACCCAAGATTCAGCGGGTGCCTGTTCCGGTAGAATCTCCTCCTAAGATACAGAATGTACCTGTCCCTGTTCCAGTAGCCGTTCCTTCTCCTCCTCTTATAAAGCATGTGCCATATCCCGTCGCCCTCCCCGTGAAAGAGCCAGGTGAAATTCAAAAAGTATTTTATCCTATAGCAGTTCCTCAACCGTCTCAGATTCACCATGTTCCGTTTCCTGTTTACATTCGCTATCCGTCAGAAATAAGACGAGTTCCGTTCCCTGTTGCCTTACCTCCAAAGCCCTTTCCCGTTCCAGTACCTTCACCGCCACATTACGTTATCCATCGAGTCCCTTATCCAGTCATGTTTCCGCAAAAAGTTCCTTACCCTGTTCCGCTTGTTGTTCAACATCATCACATCCATGAGGACGTCGGTAATACAAGAGGTGAGTACATTTCTGTTTCATCATTTTTATATACAAATTGTTTTTTTTCAATGAAAGCAAATATCTCTACCACACACCTCTTTCATCCAGATTTTTATAATTCACATCTACAGTGGATCTACTGTCATAGAATCGGGTAATCTTAGGTAAGTTGTTTGTGTTCAAGCTCGATACTAAAAGATAAAAACATGTAAAGAGTTGTCTTTAAGTACAATAAAATGACCCTATTTTTAGCATCAAAGTCTGCTTGTGATACAAATTATGATATGTTTGCTTTGTGTCATTTTTCTAGAGTCAGTAAGTAATGGACAGTGTTTGGTGAATCTTTGTCTTAATGGGGGCACTTGCTCAGCCTACATGAACACCTACCGATGTCACTGTCCAAACGGATTTCAAGGAAAGCATTGCGAAGGTGAGCGAAGCGAGAGGGTTATTCCAAAAATGTTTGAGCAACAAGTTTGCATTCTTGTTGATACGACCAAAGGAAAAAAATATCACGTAAACATTAGTTGATATTTTTTGTGTTAAAACTTGTTAAAACAAGGTTTTCCTTGATATACGTGTAACCCTTCCTTTATGTGGTTAATTTCATTTTTATTTTAACTCTTAAGAAATTGCTTTGTTTGGTATAACGTGTCCTCAATGTTCCTTCTCAGGTGAACTTGTTTTTAGCTTTTTTATGAGCATGCATTTTGATGCAAGGAGAAATCGTTCAAGCTAACTTTGAATCTCTTTCTTCTTCAGAGCAAAACATGTGTGAGCCAAATCCCTGTAAAAACTTTGGTACGTGCTCCCAAGTTGAGCATGAGTACGAATGTACCTGCACTAAGGGGTTTATTGGAAAGAACTGTGACAGTAAGTAAATAAAATGGCCACTGTGAATTTCCTACTACAGCTATATATCCACTTCTTCCTTCAATATTCGATTTTCAGCGGCGAAATGCATTAATGTCGTTCTTCTTCTTCTTCTCCTCCTTTTAATAAGAAAAATATTGATGACATTGAAAAAATTTTTCCCTCTACAGGAACAGACCCATGCGTCCCATCTCCTTGTGAAAACGGGGCTACCTGTTCATCAGACGGATCGTCATACTCTTGCACTTGCAGAATTGGTTGGATAGGAAAGAATTGCCAAGGTTTTTTCATAATATAAGATCATGTTGCAAGGAGTGTTTGTGGCATTTTCCGATACAGAAACAACTTTTTGAGCGCTGAGATGATGTCAGTTCTGACAATAGCTATTCCCCTGATTACCTCTCTGTATAGAAATATTCATTTGGTTATCTGAAAGGTCCACGTCAAAAAATTAATGTGTCGCAGTTTACACGAGAGATCCAAGCAATTTACATACTTCCTATTTTAGATATTGTTGACCCCAGGTTGTATCTTGTCATACCAATTGTTATTCTATTTCGTGTTTTCCACAGTTGAATCAAAGTGCCTTCCGATTAACCCATGCCAAAATGGTGGAACTTGCACAGAGGCACAAGGAAGATACCAGTGTGACTGTACTCCCGGTTGGTCAGGCTTAAGCTGTGAAGGTAACGGAGAGAATGACAACTGCTAACAAAAATTGTTCTATGCAATGATAGCGTTGAAGAATTATATGTTTATCTAGTCTGATAAGTAGCTAATATGGTTTCCTTCAGAGGGGGAAGTGAGACCCAAAGTATTTATTTTATGCAAAAAAATACCATTCTAAACTTTTTTCCTTTCAGTGTCAGCTCCGGAAACCCTTCATCAAAGAGGTATTTCAGTTTATCTGTAGTATGCATATTGAGCATTGAATAGCTCAGTTCCTCGTGAGAAAACAAACGAAATTGATCATCTTGTGAGGAATTTTAAGTTCTTCGAAAGGTGTGCTGAAAGGTGAACCAGTGATCTAATTACCCTCTTGCCATTTTTGATCTGAAACGCAACAGACACTGAGACTCTTAAGCTCATTAAGGTTATTTTACCACAACATTTGATGGGGATTGGGATACCACTTTCTCTTCTTCTAATTCCGTGACTATCACCCAACTGTGCTATCATCACTTATCAACATTACAGTTTTAAAACTAAACTACAAAGGTTTTGCACACTTTCAGAAAACTAACTTGTAGACATTTATTCATCTAGATTCAAAACTTATCTTAATTCTTTGCAAATGTTTTAGTAATGTGCGATAATTGTCACACTTCGGATGACATTATTGAGCAAAGAAATAAACTGCGTCACAGACTGACAGCAATAAAGAAATGGAAAGGTACCAAAGGATAACCAAGGTAATGACAATAAACCTAAGTCTATTGCTCCTACAAAAAGCGAGTTACTTGACGCACCTAAGTTATCAACTTAGACACAATTGCAAGCTTTTTTCACGAAGCTCCAGAGGTCTGAGCATGGTCAGCACTGGAATCAGCACTCGTCATAGTGGAAAAGTGAAAATTAAGCTGCATAATTCCTTAGTAAAGATTATTCCTTACTTTTTAAAAGTTCAAGCATGGCCCACAGAGCTTTCCGATCGGTTTCTTGTAATTTGCACAAGCGAAACTAACACAAACCTTGTGAACGAAAAAGGGTAAATCATCCTGGATGCAAGTTTATTGATGTCATTCAAAGTTTCTTAACTTCTCAACTAGCCCTTTTTGCACCAGTAAACTGCAACTGCTTCATGGGCATAAGCAATGTAACGATATCTCATAACTGACACCGACGATGCGCAGTGAAGGTGTCTTTTTCATACTTATTGAACGCTTTCGTGATTTCATTTCGCACTTACAGCGCTTGAAGACACTTGCTTGAAGACACTCTCAACGAAGACCTAAAACTAACAGACAAAATTAACGACGAAGAAAACTAACAGAAAACGCTTCCTGGAAAGCCCTAAACCTTCTACATTCAATATCAAGATTGTAAATAGCACGAAATTACATTTAAGAAGTTCTGCTTTCTAATATTCTGGATGTAGTTCAAAAATGAGAGGGTATGCATCCAGTTACAAAATGAAGAGCCGTCTCACTTGGGAAGCCACACTTAAATCTAAATCTCTCCCACCTAAAAAGTTATCAGATGACTTCATATAAATGTAACTAATTAAATAGGATTTCGATTAACTAATCTGGAAACGAAAACAGAAGCATTCAAGCCACATCGTGAAGTAGTAATACAGGTTTCTCACAAGATATTGAGTAGCCATAGAGTAATTGCAGGGTCTTGTGTAACCATAGAGAAATTATCAGATAACTCATTTTAAGGGTCTTTAGTGAGGAGTCTGCCAGTTGATACTTGATTTATTTTTTCAACATTCTCAGCAGTTTATTTGAAAACATTTAAAGTATCTTCAAGTAACTTAAGGTCATGCATCACGCTCAGGGCTTACTGATAAACGAAGATGTAATTATTACCTGATTTATTTTAAACGAATGGCTGATTGACATTGCAGAAATACGATAAAAAAACGTGATTTTTCTGCGCATTAGAAAAGTGCGTGGATAATTTTTCATAATAAACGTGATTGTGTGTATGTGTTTCTTTTTTGCTGTTTATGACTATAAAAAATCCTGGTTGGTTATCACCAGCCCGATTTGAGCACCGATAGGATAGTGTACGCGTCATGCTTATAACTGGACAGTGTTATAGGACATTTAGCAAGTTTGACACATTATGCCTGTGTAAGTGGACAGTAAGCGTGATGTGCGCGCTCTGTTATCGCTGTTGTGGCTGAGTTACCTGTTGTTATTTTTTATGAAAACCTTTAAGCGATAGCTAGCTTCTTTCTCAAATGCTCTTGTTATAGGTTTGATTAATTGGTAACCATAATGAAGTGTTGATTTTATACATTTGTCAGCAAAAAGGCGAACCTTCATGTATAAAGTCTACTAAATAAGTACGTGACTAACAAAACACTAAAGTATAAGTTTATGAAAAGAAAAAACGTTTTGTCTTCTCAGCCCAAACACAAATTCCTCTTTGAATAATCCATATGCATTTTAGCTTAAGCCTCAAAATATTGATAAATTTATCGGCCAGTACAGTTTCAACCAGATGATTAAGACCCGTATATTTATCGGAATATTTTGGTTTAAAGCCGCTCTTCGTTTATTGTAAGCCTAGATCTTTTATTTATGAATTTCTCTTATAATTCATGGTCAACCATTCTTAAATTGAACGAACATGTATGCTTACATTTTCTACATCATTAATGAAGCCAGCGAACAGAAGCTTTGGCCTCGTGAAACAAATGGAGACGGTAAATCACAAATCACGTAATAAATCTTGGCAAGGGTTGCAGAGGGAAAGGATGACGCCTTGCTTAAATCATTAGCCTTTCACTGGCAATGCAAGAGCTCAAATCTGACGTGTTGAGACCAATGCCGATATCTGAGAGAAAAAGCCGATTAAAGCTGTTGAAAATAAGCCGATTAAAGCTGTTAAAAATAAGCCAACTACAGCTGAGGATAATACTTTGAAGGGCTAACGCATGACCAGTCGATCTCTTGGCCTTGAAAAGTTAAGCAATATCCGGTCGTCGATCTACATCGCGGGGAATAAGGGAGGTGTATAGATATAGGGTTTTGCTAAAATGATAATAAACATATTGGTCTTTACATAAAGACGGATGACTTTCTAGAAATCACTGATTACTGTCCCATCCATTCCCCTTGAGCCATATTTCAATATTCTGGCCGGAGATAAGGCGATTTTTAATCGCGCAATATTTACATCCATTTTAATCATCTTTTTGAACCAGGAGGAAGATCATTAAGTAGAATTTTTAAATTAAATCATTTAAAACTAACCCTAAGAGATTTAAGTGATCTACGTCGGTTGTTTCACATATTTTAAATTCTGGCTTTTTTAATTTTATCTTAAAAAGAAGGAAAAAATTGAGAAATCAATTAAATTCCCGACTTATGTTATGCGACTGAGAGATTATCTCCACTACCACATCAAACAATCGCTGCTTAGACATAGCAACAGAGTGCTCTTAAAATCTTTTACAAATGCTATGCCTACATTAAAATAGGCATTGTTATTCAAGATATGGTGAAAGTAACAAAACTTTGAATAAGAGAATGTAGCCGTCTAAGAGGAGCGCGTGTTTTATTGTATCGCGTTTTGAAAAATGAACAATTCACTCTATTAAAACATAGACTCTAGAAATAAAGACTATTTCAATTTAACACTCCGCGTAGTGAGTTACCTGAGGGCATAATGTAACCTATCAACAAATAATTTTAAGTGTATATTCTTTCAATGTTAAGATATTTACTTTTCGGCTTCCGTTAATTATATTTCAAGTTTTCCTATAGGTCGAGTAATATAACGTTAGCCAAATCGGAAGATTGCTAACTATTGCTGTTTTTTCACACTGCTACAAATGGATTTTTCAATCGTTAATAAACTAATGCTGAAGTGGCTCCTGTGTAAATTAAAAATGATGTTTTTGTTCCCAAGGACCATAAAAAACGAAACAGTACTCGTCGCTTTACTGAAAGATGTTTTCAAATCGAACCAGTATTTCTAACATGCGGCCTGTGACACAGCTTCATCAAGATATACGAGACAACTCTACTCAAATGGATTTGATTTATTCCCCGTCAACAATCAAGATATCTTTGATAATTCTTGGGCTTGAAGTTATCCTTGGAGTTGTAGCCAATTTAGCTGTATTCTCCACTCTACGAAGTTACTGCAATCGAAGCATGTCAGTTTATCGAGTGTTGGTTTACAACTTATGTCTAACAGGCGCATTAAGCAGTTTGATAGGGATTCCCAGTCTGTTTGCAGTTATATATGTTTCTTTCGTTGAACGGACTTCTGTACCAGCTGCCCTTTGCAGAATAAGGTATTTTTCTTTGACTTATTTCTTCTTCACCGACAGTATGAACATTTGCTTTTTGAGTTTGGATCGCAACGACTTTATTACAAGACCGTTTCGACGAAGGATAACGAAACGGAATATAAAAACTTACATTGCTGCAATCTGGGCAATACCTTTTGTGATTGGACTTCTCAATTTTGTGATAAAAATCAACACAGAAAATTGTATTCTGGTCTCATCCGCGGAAGGTCCTTACTCCGAACCTATGGTAGTCTTGCTCTCAGTTATCCTGGTACTAACCTGCAGTTTTGTGGTGACAAACAACTGGTCCTCGGTAAGATCGATGAGAAACCTGGCTAGAAGTCTCAACACATCTAAGAAAAACCATGCTCGTTCAGAAAAGAAGATGATTATTTTGACAGTGAAAATTATTTCTGTCTATTTGGTTACCGTAGCTCCAGCGACTCTATGGTCATTTGGCTTGCGCGCTGGAGGTGTCAAAAACTGTGTATTATGCAACGATGTACGAATCTATTTACAGTTGTTACTTCTTGTTAAATACCTTGCTAATCCTTTCATTTTCGTGGGTTCGATATGGAGGAAAAAAAATTCTGTAGGCCAAACAAATCTTGTGCGAAAAAATGGATTCAGAGGTCAAACAGTCTTGGAGGTTAGAAAATCAAGAAAAAGACCCATACGAGGAAAACCGCGGGAGTTTCTTGGAGAAGCCTCATCTTATGGAGATATCCATCAGCTTAGCACAAGTCGACGAGTGGTAACAATTTATGAGGAAAATGAAGAGAGGCACATTGAATCTGAAAACGATCAAGTAGCATACCACGTGAACCGGGGAACACAAACTAACTTGGAAGTGCTTAACACCTGTCCAAAAAGGAGGCATACGGGCAACACAGACAATTCCTTGCCTGACATATTGGTTCACTCCTTTAGCAGACATTAACGTTTTTTTAAAAATTCTTTTTTTAATATTTACCATAGTATATTTTGGCTCCTTTAATCAAGTTATCGACAACAGCGTGAATTCAGCTTTCTAAAACCTCGTAACTGTATGGTTATTTAATAAAAAACAGAGGTTGCGTGCGTGTGGCGAAGAGATATCCTACTCAAGTAAACGTTTTTCACAGTTTATTCCGGTGCCGCCTCGTTGAAGATAAATCGGCCTCGAGAAATGTAAATTAAGAAAGCCTTAGGGCATTCCTTTTTAAGTCCTCAAAATGAAAACGGAGAGACTGTTTTTGTTAAATAAAATGAAACAAAACATTTTAAAAGCAATTTTCTTATTTTCAAAATTTATGTGGAAGAAGGATGTTGTTTCCCCCACTTTGATAAAAGAATAAAATTAACTCAAACGTCTGAATTTCTTTCTTCACTGTCGGTAGGCTCAATGAAAAGATTTGTTGATCCCCTGAAAAATGCCCCAAAGGAAATTTATTTTTTGGAATAAACCCCCCGTTTTGAACTTGCAATACTCCACCCAGTGCTTAAGATCGCTAATATACGATTTTTGTCTACGATATTAAATGTGCAATTTCCTTTAATCCGAGAAACCTTTGTTTGTAGGGTTATCGATATTTCCTGTAACATATAGAAGTGTGAAATGAACCCAAAGGGAGTTTAGGTTGAAGATAAAGAAACAGCCACCACTGAATTTAATTTTTTTTTTTTTTGTACGTAGCAAAGTGAAAATTTTAACACTTTGAGATAAGAGCCTTTGATATTTCAGATACCGCGATTTTGTCGGTAAATAATAACCGATAGGTTTAAATTAACTCAATTGTGGTCATTGCCAGGGTTAATGGCATAAGTGTAGACAGCTTAATTACTCTAAATTCGGTGTTTTCCTCACTCTAAAGCAGCTTAATGACAGAAATTAAAAAAAAATGAATGAGGAATCAAATCTACCACCACATTGGAGTCTCAAATGGCGATTTGCCCCCAGCAAAGGAAATTTTAGGTCCTCTTGAAAGAAAGTTGCCGGCTTGTTAATTACATGCATTAGTTAACTCTGTCGCTTTCATGTCTCCTTCTTTTACGCATAAATGCTTTAGTCGATGGCGATAGACCTTAACGAAGCGAATCATTATGCGGTCTAAACCTTCCGTCAAAAGGACAAAAAAACATGACATGTGTGTAAAATGTAATCTTTCAAAGTAGTATCCGCGTTCATCACAAAGTAGTCGCCGGAGTTAAAAAAAAACACTTAGACCCCTCGGTCAAGAGGTAAATAGCCTGCCAGAGTTTACCACTTCCGGTTGTACTTATAACCAGAGATACAAACAAAAAAAGAAAAAACAGTAATACTGGATTGGATTCAGGGAATACTGTTTTGAGATCACACTTTGAATCAGCAAAGTTCCTATACGGGGTGGTTACCAGAACTGCTTCACTTTCCTCTTTGGCCGTCACAATAACCTGCTAATCTCTAACTTCGTGAGCAGTCAAGCAATCACTTTCTGACCTACGCTATTTAACTCTACGTTGTCTATTAATTGCTAACTAAATAGGCCTTTTAAACTCAGGCAGGTGCTGAAGTCGCTATTTGTACTAAAATGAAAAAGAAACAAACAGTCAGCTTTTACGCAAATATAGCGGCTACCGAAATCTCATTCAAATTAATTCTACCTGTATAAAACAGCTATTTAAATTAAATTTAAGATTCATAAAGTTGTTTAATCATCTTGTCGTTTTTTTAAAAATCCCATAGTATTGTACCCTCTCAGAGTTAATAGTGCATGTCCAGAGAAATGATGTCATAGGGATTTTGGAACAATTGTGGGCAATGCATAATGTATGGCGCTTCGAGATGTTGGTTGAAACACAAATGCAACTTTGAGAAAATGGCTCGGAAAATCACACGACAAATGTAACGTTGCACCTTTCACCCACGGCTGAAGACATGGATCTTAGGCACTTGACGATAGTGGTTTTCTGGCTAGGGTTAGAGTTGTGCGTTGGGTCCCTGAGAGCCATGTCGTTCCCTATGGCTGAGAAGGGAAAGTCGACAGTCCGCGGTCGAAACATGATCAAAAAATCATTACAATCTTATCAAAGACTGAGCAACACTCGAACTCATTTAAAACAGCATTTATCAAGTGAAATGCACAATCCGAAGAAAATAATTAAGAGAAGAAAAGCCTTTAGACTAAAAACCGGAAAAATTGCTGGCATATCTAGAGGAGTAATTGCGATAAGCAAATTAAGACATGGCTTCCTGAAGCAAATTCCACAGGAAACTGAAAACTATGTGTATCATGGAAGGAGAAATATTGCGTATCATAAGCCACCGTCGTTCCCCTCACACCTGGATTTCAAAGTGGCTCGCCGGGACGAGGATGGAGTTTTAAAGAGGTCTCGAAATAGAGTGCGACTCAAAAATAAAAAATCACAGGCTAGAAATATGGAATCGTCAAATAAGTGGCCTCCAAAGAAGGAAAACATTACCTTGAACACAAAAGGACCGCAAAATACTAATGCTTCGATGGAAATGAAACGACAGCGTATTTCAGATGGAGTCATGTTTGCTAATAAACCCAACGAGTTTCTCAATGAGGGCATGCAGCTGAATGAAAACCCCGATAGTTTTTTTGCCAATCCATTGGCTGCTAAATTAGAGCAACGTATTCTCCATTCTTCTCATTTCTTTTCCCCAGCAGTGCATAAGTTTTTGCCAGCTGAACATCGTTTCTCTGGTGAACCTATTCACAGATATCTGTCATCTCCAGTGCTATTTAAGGATGCAGACAGGGAAGGTTTCGCCCCTCTCGATACCAGGGGCGATTCAAACGGACCTTTTGAAGGTGCACCGATGCCACCTCTATTTGAAGGTCCACCTCGCCATGGTAATCGCGTCATCATTATAAATAGGCCCATTCATACTCCTGTTCCTGTGCCTGTGCACGGACCTCCAAGGATTTCTGTGATCCATCATCCAGTACCACTACCACCCCAACAGGTCCCTGTTCCTGTTCCAATCCCCGGGCCGAGGCCTCCACAATATATCGTTGTACACAGAGAATTTTCAAGACCAGGTGTGTTTTTAGATTTAAGAAACCGTCTTTGAATACCATCGCAATTGCTGCGTATGTTTGTTTTGTTTATTTATTCGATTTTACTTTTCCAGCGATTGACCCTTGTGGTGTCAATCCTTGTAGAAACGGAGGTACTTGTACAGCAGTAATCACGGATTTTAAATGCATCTGCCCGGTGGGATACAAAGGAGAAAGATGTGAAGGTAGCGCATCAGTTATGGCTTAGCGTGTTTGCTCAATAATTAATTTATTCATCATGCTCCATATTTTACCTGACTGGTGACTGCATCTGCCTCGCTAGTTGGAGTTTCTTTTTTAACTCTGCTCGATTTTTTCCTCCGTGAATCCCTAATTCAAGTCTTTAACCTTGCCGTGAATAGATCAAGGCAATTGGCGCTTTACACCATGTTACATTATATTTAAATCATTTTTCACGATTATTTCGAGAGTTTCGTTGTTAACTGACAAACCTTCAGAAGCTAAGTGAACTCAACTGCACAAAAAATATATCTATTTATACCATTTAATGAATGTCAGTCCTTTCCGTAATTTGAGCACAGAAAAAGTATCGTTCGGCTTTAATATTATATCACTTAAACCACAAGGCAAATGCTTGAGAAAGACATTAATCCATCCTTCCTTTCGCTACTCTACGTTAATTGACTTTCCACAAGTCGTTAAACTATTCTAAAAGCTGACCAGCATAGACAGTAAGATGATCTTGTTGCTAATGTAGCTGACAATTCCTATTTACCTAATATATTAATTTTATGTTAATATTCCAGTTCAAAGCAGATGCTTGCCAAATCCATGCAAGAACTTTGGAAAATGTACCGAGCTCCCTGAAGATTTTGAGTGCACCTGCCACACTGGCTTCCATGGAAAAACCTGTGACCGTGAGTTGGAAATTATTCTTTTGTTTTGATTTTGTAGAGGTTTTCGCTTGCATTTAGAAAGTGTCTAAATACATCTTGGCTGTAAACACATCCCTCATTGAATAATTCAATTTAACAAGAATTGATCGCACATCTAATTGTTAGTGTCAGTCTTCAAACTTACATTGTCTGCAAGTTAAGACTGCTCTATGACTATTTCTTCCCGCGCTTTTCCGGTAAATGTAGTGTTAAGTGTCGCTGGGTGATAAGCCCCGCAGTCAGAAAGTATTACCAAATCGTTACTTTCTGAGTATAGGAGAAAACCAAACAAAACAAGCAAGAAGCACATAAGTGTTTGGTTTTGGTAATAATCACGATAACACAACAAACAGTCGGAAACATTTTGCGAGAATTAAGTAATGTATTGTTCATGATTTCATCCAACATTTGTTTTTTCGCTTTTTTTCCTCAGTTGAAAGTAAGTGTGAGCCTAATCCTTGCAGAAACGGTGGGGTGTGCACGGAAAACATTGACAACTACATCTGCTCGTGTGCAGCTGGATTTATGGGAAAAAACTGCGAACGTGAGTGATTTGATGTTGTTATAAGTTTGTGCTACCTCGTCGAACTTAATACAGGAGACCTGTGGAAAGAAAAGACAGATTTCAATACGAATGAATTTGGCCTTGTGCACTACAACTATTACCTTTTATAGCTGTATGAAAGTCTGATGTTATATGTTTTGTATAAAGGTTTAAGCCATCATATATAAAGTATTACCTCACCGGTAAGATAAATTGTTTTTTAACATGTGACATATCAACAGGGGAATCAAAGTGTTTGCCAATCAACCCATGTAAAAATGGCGGCATGTGCACGGAAGACCTGAGCGGTTACAAATGCAACTGTAAAGATGGATTTGACGGAATCAATTGTGAAGGTATGATAGCCCCAGAATCCAACACAATCATCTATTTTGTTATTATTTCCGTGTCAAAGGCAGATGTAAAAAACCTTGGTGGAGGATTATTTACATGTATATATACGTAAAAATTAGCGGGTACCACAAACGGTCGACTTTTTAGGGTAAGTTTTTAGAGAAATAGTGATGCTTCGTCAAAAGGGGGGAGAGGGTGTAACAAGATGACTTGGTTTTTATCAACTGAATTGCAAAAGATTCGCTCTGAAGAAGGATTAATACTCGAAACGTCCACCTATAAACTCTTTACCGTGGCCAGTTTACATTATCAACTCATGTGATAAAACCAAATTATCTCATTGAGAGACTTCTCTGAGAGGCCATCTCCGTGGACCAATGCTTTAATAAACCTATATTACGTGGGATTTTAATGATATTGTTGGTGTTTGTAGTTCGCCAGACAAGCACTTCTTGTGACAGTACTCCTTGCTTGAATGGCGGGACCTGCATCACTGATATCTACGACTTCTCAAAATTTTCATGTTACTGTGCGTCTGGCTTTACGGGATTAAGCTGTGAAGGTATTTTCGATAGATTTAAAACCTAAAATCAACTTTACATCTGATCGAAAAATAACATACTTCATGCACTGATTGTTGGTTTGCAGTGACCCACATTTTTGAGTCAGTAGTCAGAAATGGCACTCCTAGTCAAACAGATTTAAGAATATTCCTATCTCTCATTATTGAGTAATGGCCGGTCTAGCCGGTAGTGTTTCTTATTTCACTATTTCATTTAACTATCCAATCAATCAACTTAAGTAGACCACACGTTGTGGCCCAATCATGATGGTGGATGCATTGAATAACTGATGAAAAGACGTGGGTTTCAACGAAGTCATTATCTATATGCTTTCTCGAGCAAAACACTGTCATTGCCTTTCTCTGATCATGAGCAATCAACCTCTCGGGGAAACTCGACGAATTTCTGGGGAGTAAGACTGCAATAAACTAATAACCATGCGTATGGAAATTAGCAATCCTCCTTGTCCCCTTGTTCCCTTCACGCTCGAGAAACCGAGGTACCCTTCGGAAGCTACAACAAGCTTTACTTCGCTTTTACAATCCCTCTTAGCTCATTTCTCGTCCTTAATTTGAAATCCATTGTTTTTATCAACACGTGCATGACTTGCATGGTACTAGAACTTGCATGTAACAGCTGCCCAGGAATATGCATCAAGGGAGTGTGTAAAGCAGGTATCCAATCCCAAGGTACGTCCTGTCCTTGGAGGAATGGTCACTGATGAACTCAGATAGGGACTTTTTTCGTGATGTTATTAATAGTTTACATTAAAAAAATACACCACAGAGAGGCAAGACAGACGAAATTTTGAAATGGTGCGCAGCTATTTTCACTCGTTTTCAGCTAGTTAGAAGAGTGTTATTTTTTTCACGTATATTATTACATGGCTAATGATACGAAAGTTAGGGTTAGTTTTTCGCCTCCTTAAGCTCACAATTTGAATTCTTTCAATCGGAAACACCTGGGAAAACGCTAACTATTATTATTTAAAAATGAAAAGTAAGTATCACTATTTGTTAAAAAGAGCGATGAGAAGATATCAATATACGGCACTTATACTTAAGCGTTTAATTAAAATAGCGATTTTCACCAAATTTTGGGGCGTACTTATCCTCACCAAAACAGTGCAATGCCTACAACAAATAGAAAAATTGAATTAAGGATTAAGAGATTTAAGCTTTTTAAAAATTATTTTAAACTATTATATTATTCTTTCAGAAAAAGGGTTTCAATCTCTCGTTCTTTCCAACCCGCTTTCCAACTCACCTTGTGCGCCATTTAATCCCTGCCTTTTTGGTGGACATTGTCTTCCGGACGGGGAGGACTACACTTGTTTATGCCCTGCTGATCGAGGAGGATCTCACTGCGAACGTAAGCCTCCCGAAATTAAAAAAAATAAAAAAATAAATAACTATATATACATATATATTTCTCCACCTTGATTTCTGCAAGTTCGTCCCAAAATCCTCATACGTGCCTCCTAAGTATATGCAGACGGTACCTCAACACTGTTTTAATGTTATTGAAATATTTTTAAATTTTGTTCCAGATTTGTTTCACGAGAGCAGCTGTAATGGCTGCCATCACCACGCTGTTTGTATCTCTAGCCAGTGCACATGCCGAAAGGGATACTGGGGTGACGGACATAGATGCAGACCAAGTAAGTTATGAAGTATTTTCGTTGCGAATTTACGTGAGGCAGTCGAACCCCTAAATTTAATACGGTGATGTAAACAACTTTGTAGTGGTTTTTTGGGGAAATGAAAACGTCTTTTCGGAAACATCGAGCGACTTCACGTAGCGTGAACATTTAAGGGAGGAAATAAATGAAATGTTTTCTCGTTCATAGACCTTGCTTATCGTGTACCGAGTACAAATATTACTAAATGAAACGATTGTTAGCGGGGGAATTTGCGAGTATGCACTTCATCTAAAGGCAAAGTAAGTTGACCGATTTATTTCACAGAAAAAAGGTTAGGCCAACATACATCTCAGAAATTTTGTTTTTCACTTTTTAGCAATTTTGTTATTTTTTTAAGAAACCTCTCCATGTCATCCCAACCCATGTGAGAATGGAGGTACTTGTCGAGAGAATGATACTTTTGAAACATCTCAATCGGACTGGTGGTGTGAATGTCCCAAGGGATACAGCGGAAAACGCTGCCACGGTATGGTATCTGCTTCTACACCATGTGTTAAAGAATCACCGTTACGTTTGTGGTTTGAAAACCATGCACTTTTAACCAACTGGGGAATTACGGTGTTCAATAGCACGAGATAGGGAAACAATCAGAATATTATTATTACAATTACCGCTGAGTGCGTATAATTAACAACCTTTCGCCGAAATGGAGGTGGTTAGTTGTTGATCTTTACCAAGCTACGATCCGGCGAGAAAAATATCCAGTGCTAGCCACCAATACTGAGGTAAACAGTTTTTTAGCTTGTACTATACAAAAAAAAAATGACCTTAACTCATTTATTTCCGCAACGATTACAATATTATCGGGCTCATATCTTGTACGAGTTGTTCAGAGGTGAATACTAAAAGATATTCGGTGTTTGAGTGGCTAATCAGAGCGTGCTTTCATCGCTATTTACTGTTTAACTATATACTGATTTATTACATACAATATCAGCGTCTCAATGTAACCTTATATAACCATATAAATTCACAATCAAAGCTGTATAGCAATTTTACCTATTCGTGCCTACAGAGTTCGATCCATGTTCGAAAAAGAAGTGCTACAATGGAGGAACATGTGAAGTAATAGATAAAGAACCAAAGTGTAATTGCGACGAGCCATATGAAGGAGAGAGTTGTCTGCGTAAGACATTGAATTCATTTGAACATTTTAACATTAATCAGAGATCACTAAGAGAAAAAAGCGTCCTGCGAGCAATTTCACGCCATGATTTGAAAATGTATCACCCTTGAAAATACGAATGAAAAATTTCGGCTTGCTCATTTTTCCCAATTTACATTCAAAACCATCTCATAACCTATACAAAGTTGTTCTCTGGAAGAGTTATAATTCATTCAAAAAGTTATTCATTGATAACATATTAGGCATTAGCTGTCTCACTTACAATTAATTTTATGTTATTACATGTGTATCTATGTAGTCCTTGAGTGATGGTATATTGTTGTATTACCCTGATGATGCTCCCCTGCTGTTTCATCAAAGAAGACGTTTAAATTATGGTACAATTAACAAATATTTGTCTTAATTCAGTCGATAACGCTTGTTTACCAAAGAATGGCGAAAAGAGGGACCCTTGTAATAATGGCGGAAAATGTGAATTCACCGACGGCAAAGTAACGTGTGTTTGTCCGACTCGGTATGACGGTCCGACATGTGCACGTGAGTACTTCTATAAACGTACTGTTATTCATAGAGCACCTTTCGATTGAGTGTCGTAAAACCAAGACCGAAGTAATCACGGCCGCTGATCAAAATGAACTAAAATGCTTTTAAAAGCCAGTGAAAGCTTAAAACAAAACCAACCAAACTTTCTAAAGCGCGGGAAAATGCGGGCGACCACGTCGTGATGAGTTTTAGTTTTACATCTGATTGGTTGAGAGAGTGGTACGAGTTTTCTGGATCAATCACAGAGCAAAGTTAAGGAAAACCAGTGCAATCTCAGGTTCATTTTGGCACAAACTCGAGAATTACTCTGTACGCTAAAAATGATACGTTCCTCCCGTTTTTGTTCGGTTTTTTTTTTAAATATTTTTTGGCTTCTTTTATTGCTTTTATTTGTTCTGTTTACTCTGTATTTTTGTTCTGCTTTTTCGTTTCATTTTTAGGCGTGCCATTTCAATTCCGCTTTAGATTAATTGAATGTTAATCGAACCATTTCTATAAGTATCTAATTATGACGCCCTGTCATTCCTTCTTTTTTACAGTTGACAAATGCGCTAAATGCGACAAAAACGCATATTGCGAAAATGGAGCTTGTAAGTGTCGCCCACCATACGAAGGAGACGGAATCACTTGCACGAATCCGGAGGAGGAAAAACCAAAAAGTTAGATTGAGATAAGCGCTTGTAGTTGGTCAATCCTGCTGATTGACAGGATTTGTCTCTTTCTTTTTTTTTTTTTTTGCGAATGCATCATTGCGAACAGACTTTATTTTGACGGCTTTCACGTAACTCCCATAAAGAAGGAAAGTTAATGATCAAAAAGCCTCATGTATTTAAGTTCATACCTTATGCAAAAAAAGAGAAAAACGGTTTTTAGGAACTCAGCGAACAAATTACAAAATAAAGTCTTCTACCTAGGTTTTAAAGGTTAAAATTCTGAGTGTTAGCGATAATATTTTCAAGGGTCATTCACTTATGCTAACTTGGAAGAAGATCATTAGTTTTTAGAATTTTTTTTTTCCTAGGGAAAGATTGCTTTCCGAAATATTCGCGTCAAGGCTTAACTCGACATGATTTATTCAGTGAGAGAAACAACGTGGCGGTTAGTTTTCGTGATGAAACAACGTCAAAACCTATAGGAAATATTCGGGAGCATATAGCGAACCACTGAATAAACACTCCCTTTCCATATAGAGATAACCTTTGTGAAATCGACAAGTATAATTCAACAGATACAACGACTTTAACGTCGATTGACGGCCTTGTCCTATGTTGCAATTTTGATGCCGATCGGAATTAATGTGGAATTAGTTAGGTTAAAAGTTAAGTAGTTCGAAACACTTTATTGGAATAACACTGACTGTTGATAACACCTTTATCTATTTCAGAGGCGCCTACCAATCCGTCTGAGTTGGCAAACGGTTGCAATCCAAACAAATGCAAAAATGGAGCTGAATGCATCGAAGGAAAGTCTACTTTTTTCTGCGTTTGTCCCGAAGGCACCTTCGGCAGGCTGTGTGAAAAGAAGATTACACCCACAACACGTATGATATATGTATCAAAATAATAACTCCAACGGTAGCCGGATACAGTTTCCAAATTCCCTCTGTATCTCTCGAACAAGAAATACTGATATGAATTGCATTTGCAAGGCCGCTGCGTACTCCCCCCCTTCCTCCCGAAAAAAGCCAAAATAATGCTACTAATGATGATAGTAAATAACAATTAATAGTAGTACTGAATTAATGTACCTGTTTGAGTTTAGTCAATGACGGCTTGACATTCCCCTCTCTACATATCTTTCATTTTCAGCTAAAACTGTTGGGCTTCAATTTCTGAAGAGACAATTAGGATAGTCGTTAAACAGTGATATTAATTATTTAAGGACCTGACCGTAACCACATACAATGCTGCGGTTGCACCCAAATTGCAGAGTCCCATTCTGGCAAATGCATTGACGAAACGTGTAAGAGTCATCTGAAGTATTCAGCTTTAAGAAAGTACCTTCCAATCCGATTTGTTAAAAACTGTCATAATACGATCACAATAGTAAACACATTTTCTGAGTTTATCATGTATTTGGTGCATCATTAATGGTTGGTGATTTGGTTGTTATTCTAGTTTGATGATAGTTGTATAAGCATGCGTAGCTAAGTATTGCCCGTAATGAAGACGATATGTGACCCTAAAGAAAGTTTTATTTTAAATTCATTCATGATAGCTCCACCCAAAGCAGCGTGTCATCCAAACCCTTGTCTTAATGGAGGAATGTGCAAAGAAACGGGAGTCAACCAGGATTTTGAATGCATTTGTCCAAACCCTCGGTTTAAAGGGAGGTTTTGTGACGGTGAGTGAAGAAAGTAGAGCTTCTTTCTTTTTCTGTCTGAGGATGGGGTCTTGGACTCTTTTACAGACCATCCTTATGGCATTTCCCTTGTTATAGGTAATTATTTTATTTTGCTAATTGCGATTAAATTGTTATAAGTTTAAATAAACCTTCTGAAAAAAGGCTGAGAGAATGTTTCATTGTGAGAATCATACGTTCAAATTACTAATTTACTGAACTGTAAATTTAAACTGTCAGATAATATCTACATTTTCCATGATCACGATCAGTTTTCAACAGGAGGAGGGTGTAAGAAACTAAATATCTTTCGTTCTCCAATAGTTCGATGTACGGTTGCATGCTTGGTTGCCAAGCCTTTGAACAGGAGTGAGGCTAAGGGTGACCTTGCTATGATACAAACCTTGCTGCTTTCCAAATGCAAATTACTTTGTTATCATGTTAACTAGATACTAGTCTCTATCACAACAAGGTCATCTTCAGCCTCACTCCAAATCAAAGGCTAGGCAACTAAGTACACAACTGTTAAAAGACCTATTTGTAGAATGTAATTTAGTTGAGTACATTTTCGATTCACTGATGCTTAGATGACTATCAACACATTCTACACCGAGTAAAGCAATGGTCCTCGCAATTTAAAAAATTGCAAAAAGAAGTCTGATAAAAAAAAATTCACGTCACGCTTCGTCAGGATTCAGTCGAATCCTTGCCTCCCAGAAAATAGTTGGAAGTTACTATCAACTGAGATACGAGGACGCACGCTGAGAGCGGGCACAATTTGGAAGGTACTTCTTTCTCTAGAAGGAATCTGATTATAATCTTTAATTTCCTAACAGTGGACATGTGTGCCGAATGCGATCCTCATGCTCGGTGCATCAATGGAAAGTGTTTCTGCAGAAGAGGGTATTCTGGCGACGGCTTTTCGTGCAAAAGAGGTAGGCCTTTTAATGAAAATGAGACGTTTCTCATCACTAATGGACGAACATTAATTATTTTCGTGAATCCGAAATGCTTGGGCGCGTACAATGCTATGAAGAAATCACCACTTATCGCCACTCAGTATTTTTATCCTATTTCATTCGATGGCTAACTTGCATAGTGAAACCTTCAATGTACTGTCCTCCGTAGATTAAAGAATGAATAATTATACCTTTAGTATCTAGCTCTATTTTGCACCCTTAATTATCAGACTGTTTAGAAAGATAAGAAAGAATGATTATGGTTACTTATGAGGACTGATTTGATTGAAAATGGACACTAGTAAGTACTTAATTGTCACTATTGAGTCGATGAAAATGATGATACTATTATGCCATTTATTTTTGTTCGTAGTGAAACCAAAGTGTCCACCGTATTCCTACACAGTCACCGGCGACATTTGCATTTGCAACCCAGGTTACTACATGAACAATACCGGGAAGCGCGCATGTATCCGTAAGTATTCGTCATGAGTCACTCAGAGAGGGAAGAAAATAATTTTGTGATGCTTCTTTATTCAATCAAGCGTTGCGAAAAGAACAATAACATGTAAAACTAGCCTTAAGACATACGTTACATTTATTGATCAGTTACCCCATCGCTCAGGGTTTAATCGCGGGTCAAACAAAGTGAGTATTTGTTATTAAGTTTTGAGAAGATAGGCTTAGACAGGAGGGAGAAAGAATAAAGGCTTAGTCGGGAGAGGAGCTTAGTAATTTTGTTGAAAAGTGATATAATCCTTCTTGAATTCGATTAATATCTGAGCCGCTGGATGTGGCTCACGGAGAGGAAATCCACCAGAGAGGCAACTAAAAAAGGTTATGTTGTTGACTTCTGACGCTCATCTTTGCCTCAACGTGAATGCTTATCAACGCAGGCCTAAGAAACATTTTACCGCTTTACCCTTGAAGTAATTTTCTGTAACAAATAATGCAGTATAGTAAAAAGTTTATAAATCACTGTGACTTAAATATTAAACTCTTGGTGTTTTCCCCAATGCTAGCGATCACGGCGACATCTCGAACAACAATGCAGCATGGGACTCAGCTCCAGATTCCTCCACCAGCACTCGGCAGTACAGAAACTGGTGGTGGACAACAGTGGTCAGGTAAAAAAAGAAAAATCGAGGATGGATGCAGGAAAATTTTAATTTGTACTAATGCGGCAGCAAGTTTCTCCTAAGATAATGAGCATCGACTGACATAAACGCGTTTTTACACGGGGCTCACCTTGTTAAATCGACTAGAATGCACATTCACTATTTCAATCTGTTTTATTCAAGTTATGTTAGGCGTATGACAACTCACTGAACTGTGCAATACGGACTCGAAAATGACCTTTGCGACAACTTTGGTACATACTCATTGAGGTCCCATCATAAGGAGATCGTAATCTTCCAAATGGTTATATCTAAAAGTTTTCAAATATAGCGCAAACTTATTTTTGCATTTCTTAGACCAACTTTAACTTCTTTCTCAACATACTTTCATGATTACTGACACTAATTAACAGTTTGTAGAGTGCTTGTCACATCTGAACTTTTCCATTCATCTATTTTCTAACTCGCTGTCTATTCTACGACACTAGAGTATTACAACCTTACCGATCCCACTAACGTAACATTACGCGTTGAAATTTATCTTAAGGTAGTGGAGCTGAAGCTACGCAATTTCCAGTTACGTATTAAAATTAAAACACAACTACTTTTCAAGTTACGATTTCTGATAACCAACTTGTGTTACAATGACAACGCTTCTAACATAAGCTTTTTTATATGTTAAAACTAACTCTGCTAGCATAACAGTTTTTAAATACGTTAATGACATAACAACAACCGAAGCTACTAACATTCCAGGACAAAGTATCCCTTAGCAATTCGCGACAATCAAATATGAACTTAGCATATGGCTTAGCTTGTAAGTGCATTTACCCTTGAAATCGAAATTGGTGCAGAGTAGTACAAATTCTTGAGCTCGTAACCAATTTTTTAACATTCTTCACTAACTTGTCGCCCTCCTCCCAACAGAAGACATTGTTGTCACAGAATACCGCAGTCTAGGCTGCTGGGCTGACACCTCCGAGTGGCGCGATCCATCTAAACGCGCCATGATGGTGATGGAAGGCTTAGATCCCAATTTGGCCGACAATTACCACGAGCGAAAACAGCCAATCAGTAAGTGCGCTGACGTAGCCAAGAGGTTGGGTCTTAAAGTTTTTGCCATACAAAATGGAGGTCAATGTTTTGGTGGCGCTGATGACAATAGTTACAAGAGGTATGGATCGTCTGAGAACTGCGGTGACGGAGTAGGGGGACCCTTGGCCAACGACGTCTACAAGCTCTGAGTGTTTCGATTGAAAATATTTCTTATTTTGGGAAAGCACCTTAGCCTTCTAGCAATCACACAGGAGGCTGAACCTGCATCATCCAAAGTAAAATTTCAGGTTAGGCACGGGTGCAATGAACAATTAAAAAACCGCTCTGGCAAAATTTGAGCTTTTTAAGTGCGGTAGTATAAGTTTTTACATAAGTTTGAATCAATTTTCATATAGAAAAAACGATGCATTCTCTCAAAGAGAGAAAAAGGAGTAGTTTTTAAAACTTAATTATTGCATTTCCGAGTACTTTCCTTTGCAATCATTGGAATCATGACGATGATTTTAAAGCTGCAACCATTACTCTGAAAAGTACTCTACTTTTTAAACAGAGAATAAGTTTATAAAATCATTTCCATGTAACAGCTGGATGGTAAGTGGAGAAGACTTGCGCATCAGACTCACAGAATAAATGAAAATCTAGTGCATACCGTGGAATATTTGGCTACCTCTAGCATGTCACTACTCGGTGTAATCGAAAAAGATTTCTTGTTCCTTATTGTTCAATAAAGGATGCATCGAAGTTTGTTTCCAATGTTTTCAGGATTAATAAAACACGTTAGTTTCAAACATCACACGTGATGCGAGTGCTAAAGTTTTATAACGAAATTATCAATTAGAAAAGAAAAAAAGCTTAAGCGCGCCTTTCAAACCGCTTAAAACGTCTTGATTAAGGAAGCTTTGAAAGCAGATAAGTATAACAGACAACACTGATCCTATGTTTCACGATTCTAAATCACATGTAATGTTTGGAAGATCTCCATTTTTCTTTCAAAAACGCCCATTGTTAAGAATTTCAAATAGGGAAATTGATGATGGATAACCTCTTTTTCTGTCATGCATCACTATTACCCCCCTTCCCCCCCCCAAAAAAAAAATCGCCTCAGTGAGTGAGGGTCTCTCGTATATGTAGAGTTTGTTTTTATTCTCAGATGTTTATGTTTATGTAACAGCACGCATTCAAGAAACAATCATTAAAAAAAAAAACAGAAACAAACCGCCGTAAGAGATTTCCATCCATCTAAGTAATATATAAGTCAGTCTGAAATAACAGTTTTTGGATCTTTATTTATAATATACATGGTGAAATTTACAAATTAGAAAGGCGCGAAATAAATCTACGTTCGCAAGCTGGTCAAGGCAGCCGAGAGCCAATCAAATGGCGCGTATTGTTTTTTTCTCGAGTGAGGAAAACAACACGTCTGATCAGGAGCAGCTCCCAGTGCTGTTTACTACGTCAAGTTACCTATAAAAGGTGACTGAGGAACTTCTGTTCGTGATAATGTGGAATAGAAAGCATGCAGAACTAAAACTCAAAGGAGAAAACGATGAGAATACAAAGCGGCGAGATTTAAAACCGTTCGAATAATTTTTTCCACGGAAAAACGAGGAAAGTGAACATGTATCTTGAGGAGTAGATTCGCTCCTTTCGACGAGAAGGCAGAGCGATTATGAACCATCAAGCTTATGAAGTTTAATTTTAATTATTGACAGGTATTTTTTTTTTTTCACTTGAGGCAATTTACATCGTTTACATCTTTCGTGACCGATTTATGAGAGTTTGACTTGAATCTGTTGAACAATACATTGTCCTTAACAAGAATTGAATCTCCCGATATATAATAAACATAATACATCATGGAAAGTCTGTCCGTACGTTATTTACGCACTAGTGGGTTTGTATCAGAAAAATCACACGACCGGTGCGTTCGCTTGTTCGGTTACCGGTACTATACCATCTCGTGCGTAAATAGCATACGAACAAACTTTCCATGATGTATTCTATGGAATACGTGGGAGTAGGAAGTAGCACGTGGGGGGGGTTCAATATGGAATAGTCTCGAATTTTTTTTAGTTAGTGTTCGAGTCACAGAGTTAAGTTTACCATTAGAGACAGCCATTTTCGCTATGCGGATCCCCATTCTATTCCAAATTTCATAGCCTACGTATGAGAAACAACCTTATAAAAGTTGTTATACAGTCGTTACGCATGCGCTCTGACGAAGGGCTTACAAACGAGACGTCAGCTTTAGACACTCTTTACAGCGGCCAACTCGAATTATCAAATCAGTAAACAAAAACAATTACGGAAAGAGGACATCTAAAAATAATTTCAAAATAAACTTGTTTGGTGCATTTTAAAGTACTACCCAATTAGCTTTTCGTACACTTTTTCTCCTTCTGCAACTGTTTTAGCTTTTCCATTAAAACTTGATGTAATAGTGTCATAACTAAAGCTCTTTCTCGAGGTTCATGGCTCAATCCGTTTTCCTTTTAAGCGATATTGATTGTAAATATTAGAGCACCAAATTAAATTTGATATGCTCCCGACAAACAAAATACGTATCCTTATAAGAGTTCTCATCCCACGGGGGTATCAAAATTCTGGAAGACTAATCGTTTTTTGTGATATTTATGAGCTGCTTTTGACTCTAAACAAAGAACCCTTAGCACCTGATATGTGTCATAACAATAACTGACTCGAGCAATTTCCACTGAAGAAAAATTACCTGCGTGAAGAGATGACACTTCTAGCGAGAATCCATTGAACCACCAGCTCTATTCTCTTTAATGTTTCTTCACACCAATCAGAAGTTAGAAGCCTAGCTGTTTAACAGGTAGAACGCTTCGATTGACATATATCTGATGATAATCAAATAAAAACCACCAGGCGCCGAATTGTTTTCGTGTTACCTATATTCTTTGCTTTGAAGACAATTGTTTGTATTATTAATTGTAGACGTGTGTTTCTCCGTAACCAGATGAAGATATGTAGTCAAAATATGAAAGTTTTGGGATATTTTGGAACAGTTTTCCTTGTGTACGCTTCACAGCTGTTGGCAACTCTTCTTTGTCAAGCAGATGCTAAATTAGAGGACAGCCACATAAAAACCGCACAGAGAAATCCGACTTTTAAAAAACATGGCAACAAGTACGATTTAGAAAAGGATTTGAAACATAATAACATTGTGGAACTCAAAGAGAGAGAAGACAGTTCAACGGTAAAAAGTAAAGAAGCATTCTCGATTTCTGCTGGAGGACGAATTGCTAGCAGGGTTCATATTAATACTAAAAAGAATGGTTTTGATCAAAATGGAGCTGCGGCGGCTGACAAATTAACAAGCTCACCCACTTCTTCTCCAAGTCAGGAAGAATCTAGAGAGTTTGGAAGCAAGTCTATTGGTACCCCAACAAATGTGAGGAAGGCAACTCACTCTAAAAAGTCAAAACTATTAAAAAACTTGCCTTCTGAAAAATCGACCAAACCTCATCAGAAGGACAACGTTACTCCTAAGAAGAAAAAAAAGTTATTTAAAAAATATGCTTTGGTTCAGTCATTTTCTCCACTTCAGTCTTCTGAAGATTACCCGCCGATTGCAGCGGGTGGTGGAGACCAGGGATATGGTTCATTGGCTGAAAGTGATCAAACAGGTGAGATTCGAGACCAGGGACAGGCTCAAGAGCAGCAGCAGATAGATTATTCGAATTCGATGTCTCAGTACGACAGTGCAGGATATCAACAGGGCAGTCAGTCACCCGATACAAATTTCGCGGGCCTTAACAACGATGACGCTGGTCAGAGTGAAGGAGGACAGCAGCCTTCCAGTCTGGAACAGGCTATTCAGTTACAGCAAGAGGCATACACTCAGCAGCCTCAAGAGCAAGAACAGGGGGAGCAAGGTACCGAGCAGGGAGGACAAGAAGAAGAAGGCCAGGCGACTGATGGTGGGCAGCTACAATACCAGAGTGAGCAAACAGTTCAGGAACAAGAGCAAGGTGGTCAGGAAGGAGCTCAAGAACAAGGCGGAGGTCAAACAGGTTTTGAACAAGGGGATTATCAGCAGGAGCAGGCACAAAATCTTGGTGAACAGCAGTCTCAAGGCATTGAACAGCAGCTTCAACAACAAACGCAGTCACAAGGGTACCAGTCTCAAGCGCAGGAGGAACCCCAAGAATCGCAAACTCTCCCGACGTCCTCTAGTTCTCTTGGTGGCTTATTTAGTTCAGAAGCTCAGCAAACGGCAGAGCAAGAAGGACAGGGAACAGTAAGTTACGCAAATGAACAGCCTAATGAAGGTGGAGGGAAAGGTACACCTCCTGGTATTCAGTACGCCTCTTCGATCGAGGAAGCACTTAAAGAGCCTGGAGAGAATCCCCAGGAAAGTACTAACGATGGAAGAGAAAATCAGGGTAGCCTCGGAGGAATGGAAAATGCGAAAGTCATTAACATTGGTGGAGGTTCAGATTCTAAAGAAGAATCCAATGGTTATATAGGAGCAGGAACTATAAGTGCCCCGTCCACATATCAGTCTGCTGCTTTTGATTATAACGGGAACACCGTACAACCAGAAACTACATCTGAGGCTAACGCATACACGTCAGAAAATGATCAGACCTCAAACGGTGAGGCAACGGGTTTCGACGGAAATCAACCAACACTGAGCGCTTCCTCTCCAGAGGGGCAGGGTCCATTCAGCCTTGCTGAACAACAATTTCAGAAACCAGGTCCAAGACCGAAGGTGCCCTCTCTTGAAGACGATTTTTATAAGATCGTCAACATTGCAAATAAAAATGGTCCCACGGCAGGTAAATATGCCCTTCGTCTTAGTTACAGGGAAAGGTGGACGCTCTAAAAAATGATAGCGTACGTCGTGGTCTACATGATAATATTCTTAACATTTTCTGCCAAATTTGTGAGTTCTTTGTAAGACCGCGTTGAATATATGTTTGTT